GGTGCCTGCTTCAGAAATAATCCTGGAAAACACGATGCTGAAGTGGGTAAAATGCCAGAAATGCTCAGGGACGTTGGTGCCTGTGCCAACAATTGAGAATGTGAATCTGACTCATACAGGACCGTGTGAGCCTCTAACGGGTCTCTCCAGTTGCGGTGCCTCAAAGACACGACAAGTTCCAGCCGTGTCAGCGTGACAGGAACAGAACACATTCCCTCTGCCCGCAGGAAACCCCCTACGGCTCCAGGCCTGTTCTCTGCCGTTTGCCATTGGGGACAGAACTTTGTAACAACTCTGTCCTCTAATGGGACCAGGCTCAGACTACAAAGGTGGCACAGCGTGAGCCAGGCTGATGCGGAGACAATAGCGAGCTGGGTCAGCACAGTGGGTGGCTGTGACTTCTGAATCATATAGACCTTTCCCCCATTTTTCATTTTTTGCTGAGGGCATTGCGGGCCATATCTGCTGTGTTCGGGTGTTGCTCTATGCTCACAAGTGATCCTTGCTGGGGGCCCTCAGTCCTGTAGCTGGGGGAGGGTCCCCTCTACCTGGGCTTCTTCAAGGGCAGGTTTGTGATGTGGCCCTAACAGCATGAGGTCTGACACAGGCAATCCTGGTCGAGGAAGACTCAGAAGATGGCCTTCTGCAGAACGTGTAGAACTGTAAAATGCTTTATTCCAGAAAAAAAAAAAAAAACAGAACGAGAAGTGATCCTCTGGGGCTGGAGAGATAGTGTAGAGATAGTACATCTTGCACATGCTAGATCTAGGTTTGATCCCTGGTATCCCATATGGTCCCCTGAGCATCGCCAGGAGTAATTTCTGAGTGCAAAGCCAAAAATAACCCCTAAGCATCGCCAGTTATAACTCAAAAAATTGTTTTAAATGACCCCTGGCAGTGTTTAGGGGACTATATGACTATATGCAGTGCTGTGAACGGGTCAGCCATGTGCCAGATGAGTGCCAAATCTCCTTCCTGAACTCTCTCTAGACCCTTTTCCTTTTTCTTGCTTTGACATGAGTTTACGATATTATAGAATTTCAGGGATATATCTTAGCACTTTTTTTTTTAATTTTTGGGTCACACCTGGCAATGCACAGGGGTTACTCCTGGCTCTGCACTCAGGAGTTACTCCTGGCGGTGCTTGGGGGTCCATATGGGATGCTGGGAATCGAACCTGGTCGACTGCTTGCCAGGCAAATGCCCTACCCGCTGTGCTATCGCTCCAGCCCCTAACTTAGCACTTCTATGTGTCTATAGGATGCACCACGTCCTCCACCAAATTCCCATTGCCACCTCACTACCAAAAAGGCCCCTCTGCCCATTCCCTCCCCCAATCCCCGGCCCCTATCCCCTCCAGTAACCACTGTATTTTTCACCAAGACTAGGAGATAATTTGCTAAATATTTTTTGCCATTTCTTTTTTGCTTTGGTTATTTATATTCCACCTGAAACCATCTGGTAATTGTTTTCCACTTCATCATTTATTTCACTTAGAAGCATATCTCAAGTTACCTCCATTTTGTCTCAAATGGCATGATTTCCTCCTTTCCATGGCAAGATTGATGGGCATTAACATTGATTCCATGTTTTGGCTATTGTGAGTAATGCTGTAATCTACCTAGGGTACAAATAATCCATTTTGAAGTTAGGAAAGGGAACACTAGGACAATGGTGGAAAGTGCTTTCCACAGAGGCAGGCGGGGGGATGGGGTCAGGGGGGCAAAACCGGGAACATTGATGGAGGGTACTGGGCACTAGTGAAGGGATTGGTGCCTAAAACTCAATCATAATATATTTGTAATTTTGTAATTCACAGTTATTCCAAAAAAATGCAGGAAAAAAGTCTATTCTGAATTAGTGTCTTTAGTTAAAAGCTTCAGCAGGTAGGGTGTTTTCCTTGCATGCAGCTGACCTGGGCGACCTGGGTTCGATTCCTCTGCCCCTCTCAGAGAGTCCGGCAAGCTACCGAGAGTATCTCGCTTGCCCAGCAAAGCCTGGCGAGCTACCCATGATGTATTCGATACGCCAAACACAGTAACAACAAGACTCACAATGGAGATGTTACTGGTGCCTGCTTGAGCAAATTGATGAACAACGGCAGGACAGTGCTACAGTGAAAAGCGTCAGAGTGCATAGAATCATGGAGTTTGATTTGGTTTTAGCTTTGGGTTTGGGTTTTTTTGGGCCATCCTGTACTATCCTGAGACTGGGGTGGGGGACTACTCTGGGTTCAGCTGCTCCCAGCAGTACTGAAGCACAAAGCAGTGCCAGGATCAAACCCAGGGCTCCCACAGGCAAAGCATGTGCTCAGCCCACTGAGTCCTCTCCAAGTCTGATTTGCCTTCTGCTGCCCTGTGTCCTGGGGCAAATCACTTCATTTCCAAGCCTCAGATTTCTCATGTGTGAGCTGGAATGAGTCACACTGTCTTCACATGAGGGCCAAACCAAAAAAAAAGGACAGGGAGCCCTTGGCATCTGGGTTTCCAGTGCTCTGGGCTGATGGGAGTTGCAGTCAGAGGAAAGGCCCTCGTCCTGGGATCTCAGGGATGACCATGGCTCATCAGAACAAAAAGGGACTCGGGCACTTGGAGACATCAGAATTAAAAACATGTTTTTCCAAACTGGGCTATTTATTTTCATTTATTTGCTCCTTTCTCTCCGTTTAGCTGTCGCAATTACTGGTTCATGCACAGACTTAGCTGTGGTCTTGAACATTGGTTATAGCGGGTCACACATTTGTCAGTGCTTGCACAAGGACATTGGGGACCAGACTCTTTTTTTTTTAACTTTATTTAAACACAGCCATGGATTGCAATGGATGGCAATGTAACATAGAAGCCAACTAAGCTCAGTTAGCAAAAACATTAACACAGAGGCTCAAGTAGCAACAATAGTTTAGTAAACCCTCAGACAAGAGGTTTTATAAAGTTGTTCATGATGCATTTGCTACAGGCATTCATATTCCAACACCAATCCCATCACCACTACCACCTTTCCTCCACCACTGTCGCCATTTTCCCAACCACTCCTCAAGCCTGCCCCGATAGCTGGCCCCAAATTTTATATTGCTTGTTACCACTAAATGGCTAATGGAACGATCAAAAACTACTTTGATAAAAGAAAATTTGTGAAAATTGCTGCATCTTACCATGGGGACATTAAGTTCTTGTCCGAGGGTTTACTCGGCAGTCCATATGGTCCACTGAGCACTGCCAGGAGTAATTCCTGAGTGCAAAGCCAGGAGTAACCTCTGAGCATCACCAGGTGTGGACCAAAACAAAAAAAGGTGAACCTGAAATTTTCAGCAGTTGGCATCTCTGAGGAACTCAGACCTCCACAGTGGAGTGTAGCCGTAGGCATGGTAGCAACTGTTGGGATGTGAGTGTGGCTGCTGGGGCTTTGGTAAGGCAGGAATTTGGCTTGTCCCCTTCCCGAGGTCACCCTGGAAGTCACAGTCAGGGGCCAGTGTAACCGAGAAATTTTTGCAGCTAGTTATTCTCTTTCAAGATTGAATTGAGGCCAGAGTGATAGTACTGCTGGAAAGGTACCTGCCTTGCCCACAGCCCCCCAGGGTTCGATCCGCATCATCTCATGTGGTCCCCTTGAGCATCACCAGGAGTGATTCCTGAGTGCAGAGCCAGGAGTAACTCTGAGCATTATCTGCTGTGGCCTCAAAACAAACAAAAGCGGTTGAATTATGAGCTTCTGGAGCAGGGCCGGCATGAGCTGACATGGCAGCATAGTGGGCCATGTGTGTGGCTGCCGGAAGTACAGGAGGGGGAGGGCCACACTCTAGAGGTGGCGCTCACCCGCTCCTGACTGTTGTACACACTTGTGATCACATGTTATGATGCCTATTGAGCAAGTGGGGGAAGCTGAGGCTCAGAGAGAAAAAATATTCGGGTTTGGAGCTTTGGTTGTGGGGAAAGTTACCTATGGACGCCTATTCACCCATCACCAGTTCCTGGTTCTTGAAAGTTCTGTCAGATGCCTGAGACTAGACTTTTAACTCCTGAGCCTAAGTACCCAATCCCCTGCCTCCTAGCTGTCCGTGTAATTTCTTCCTTCCCCACAGCACCTGGTCTCCTCTGCTCCGGCCTCATGGATTGCTCACCCGATAACAAGCACAAGCTGAGGACCAAAATATTGTACACTGGGGCAGGTGTCTCCTGTGATAGAGAATGAGCCAAACACAACCTACAACCCACACACTTGAGTTCACGGATGGGTGGGAGATACCCATCATTAGCTGCTTCCCAAACAGCAGGCAGTATAATGAAATGGAGCAGGAGAGTGCCTAGAGTGTCCCCAAGGAGGGCAGTAAACCCCACTGGAGGTGTCTTAGTTGGCTCCCTGGAGGTGTCATTTGAATTTTCCTAAAGGGTGAATGGAGGTTAAGGAGGCACCGGCTGCAATGAAGGCGTCTTGGAAACAGGCTGGGGGCTAAGAGCAGTTCAGAGAGAGACTGAGCTTGTGCTGCACATGCGGAGCCCTGGGGTGATCCCCAGCCCCACAAGGCTCTGGGTACTACAGGGTGTAGCCCTGGAGTCAAGTGTCCTTTTGGCCCCCAGGACTGGACATGAGCAGCAGCACATTTCTGGAACCTATCACTGAATAAACTGGCCTAACTGTCCAAGTATTGTCATGAGTGGCCCCCAGACTGCCGGAACACTGTTTCTGAGTGCCCCCAACCCCACCAAAAAAAGGGGAATTGAACTGATGCTGAGTGCCCAGAGGGGTTACATCAAAGGAAGGTGCCAATCTAGGATGCGTTGGCAGTCAACGGTGGCCAGTATCGTTGCTGTTACCTATAGGATGGGTTCTCCTAGCAGGGGCGCGGGGGGCAGGACTGGCAGGACTCCCATCTGCTCCCCAAATGACCTGAGCTCCAAGCAGCTGGAATAACTGGCCCTGCTCCAATTCTTGTTGCTGCCAAGGTCTCGCATGCCAGATAACAGAGAAAGGACAAATTCAGGGAGGCAAAGTAGAGACAAATGGGCTTCAACTCAACTGTAAGTTTATTAGAAAGGCCATGGACAGATGAACCCTGAGTTACCAGCTGAAGAAAGAAATGAACAAAAGCCCCTGTCCGCGTTGGCCGGCCCCGGCCTCCCATGAGCTCGGTCCTGTGGCAGACTCTAACACAAAGTCAGCCAGAAAGTGCTTTCTGGGGCCTCCTCTGGGGCCGCCCCACCTGAATGCAGGGGGGCCCTCTGGGGGCCTGTCTGGATGCTGGTGCCTGGAGTGGGGAGCCATGGGGTCTTGGTCCTCCCCTCTAGCAGGGAGTGGTTCCGGACCCCCTTAGCAGAATGGCCGGGAAAAGGGGCTGGCGAGGGGTAGAGCAAGTTCTTCTTAACAGCTGCGAGTCTGGAAGGTGCTGGCCAGCCTTGGAGTGTGCAGATGGCTACAGGCGGCTGATCGTGGGGGTCCCAGGGCAGGCCCACAAAGCTATTTTAAAGAGTCTCAGCCACAGAGAGCCCTCCCGTGACTGCCCTTCCTGGGCTTTTCTGCTCCCAGAAAGGCAAATGGATCCTCTGAAAATGTGCGGAGGTTGATGCCATTTTTCTTTCCGTAGGCCCCTGACCACCGCCGGGTGTGACACCCCTCCCCCCACACCAACGACAAAACACACACACAAAAACAACAAAAAAGAGTTTGTACAGTGATTCGGTTTCAACCAGCAGAGCCTGAGCTGAGAAGAGTCCATCCTGGGGAAGAAGGCACTTCTCACACCTTAGAGGGGTGGTCTGGGCCGGCTGCCTCCGGGGCCCCTCGCAGAAAGGGGCGACAGCTCCTCCCGGCCCTGTGCCAAGGCCCTGCTCTTCTCTGGGAAAGAGCTTTCTCCATCAAGCTAGCGCCGCCCTGCGGCCTGGACGCCGGGGCCCCTCACAGGGTGGTGGATGGCAGCTTCCTCACCCGCCGCTGGGCCAGGATGGAAGACTCGATGGGCTTCAGCTGGGGAGTGGGCTTGGAGCTGTTGAGAGCGGAGTAGGTGGCCGCCATGGCTCCCTGGAGAAAAGGTGGGGAGTAAGCACCCAATGGTGGGGAGGGGTCCAAGGGAGGGGACCAGGACAGCCCCTCTCAAGGTTCCCAGTCCACTGACACCCCTCTGAATCCAGCCTTGACGGTCCTATACCAGGCAACGTTCTGCCTCCTCCTGCAGAATGGAAGCATCAGGGGCAGGGGCGAGGGTGCAAAGGGCTAGAGTACATGCTGAGCTGTGCATGTGGGGGCCTCGGGTTCCATCCCTGGCTCCTCACAGCCTCTTGTACACTGCTAGGAGTGATCCTGAGTGGCTCAAACAAACACAAACAAAAATAACAGGAGTCGCAGCTTCGGAGGCCCAGGGGCCTGGAGTGAACTGCTGACACCTACATGTTCGACCGGGGCTCCCCGTCATCACACAGACATGGCAGGCCTGGCTCAGCCACCCCAAGTCCTTCTCCATGGATCCCTGGCCTGGACCCCAGATGACCGTACCTTCACCAGCTGCGGGTCCTGGTGGGACAGCTGGCTCTGGGGAAGCTTGTCTTTCTGGGTGATCCACGGGTGCTGCAGAACCTGCTTAGCTGTGAGGCGTTGGTGGGGGTCCACGTGCAGCATCTTGGACACCAGGTCCTGGGGTGAGAGCAGGAAATGAGGTTGAGGGAGCAGACAGCTGGGTCCCAGTAAGCAGGAAAGGGCCAGGCACCGCCGAAACTAAGGCAGCAGCGCTGTGGCCCTTCTCCACCCTGCTCTGCCTGCTCAGAGCCCACCAGGGGCCCTCTGTAGTTTCTTCCAGAAACACCTTTCCCTCTCCCCTTCACCTTCTAGAAGCCACACAGGATGGTGAAAAGAATGTAAGGTTGGAGCTGTACAGCTGTACTGATTCAGACTTAAAGCCTCTCTCTTCTGCTGAGTTTCTCTGGGCAAGTAACTTCAACGCTCTGAGCCTCAGTTTCTCCTCTGAGAAGCAGATAACACCTGTCTTTTGAAGCCAATGTGAAGTGCTAGCCTTCACTGGGGGGACTCAGGCCGGGTTGCGATCCCACGAGCAGGGCTCCTAATCCTACAGCACCGCTCTGTCTCAGGGCCCGGGACACAGGAAAGGTCAGTGAACAACTAACTGAGTTGCCCAATGGCCTGAGAGTGGGGGGCAGGCTGCCTCAGTCAAAGGCCTCTGTGGAACATGAGCAGAAGAAGCCAGGCTGTGGGGCACCCTGGAAGGGGGTCCCACCTCTCCATCCCAAACAGGCCAGACCAGGCCTTGCACTCACCTTGGCTGTCTCTGAAACTGTATTCCAATTCCCCCCACTGAGGGTGAACTTCCCGCTGCCAATCCGGGTCAGGATCTCCTCTGGAGTGTCGCTGGGCCCGTTGGCAAATGGAGTGTACCTGGAGAAGAAAACCCAAGCCCCTGAGGTGCCCCTGTCCTCTGGGGTCTCCTGAGGGAAGCTTCTTCCTCCTCCTCTTTCGGCTTCCAAGCCAGGGCCACGCCTCCCCTCCAGTGGCACCCCCTGGGCCTGACCCCAGGGCACTCACCCTGCCAGCATGGTATAGAGCAGGATGCCGAGGCTCCAGATGTCACAGCCTTCGTCGTAGCCCTGGCGCTTCAGCACCTGGCAGGAGGGAGGCAGGGAAAGCGGACAGTGTAGGGGGCCAGCAGCCAGTTCCCCACAGGTGAGATTCTCCCAGGGTACGCTGGGAGCCCTGGACATAGTGGGGGCTCTGGGAGTGGGCCACGGCCCCTTCCTCCAGGTCTCCTTCCTCTGCCAGTCAGGAAGGCTGGGCCACTCACCTCGGGGGCCACGAAGTTGGCGGTGTAGCAAGGGGTCATGAGGAGTCCATTCTCCGCCCGCAACTGCTTGGCAAAACCAAAGTCACAGATGCGCAGGCACTCAGGGTTCCCCGACTCGTCCACATACAGGATGTTGCTGGGCTTCAGGTCCCTGTGCACAACCTGGAGGCGAGGGCAGGGTCCACTGTGGAAGGCTGCCACGGCCCAGCAACTGCCGGGGCAGGGGGAGCGGGACAGACAGGCCCAGAGAGGACAGAAGGGCCCAGAACCTGCAAGGAGGGGAAAGGGCTGGACTGGGCCGAGTGCCGCTAACGCTGTGGCATGAACCTCTCTAGGCGGTGCCTATGGCACACTCTTCAGAGACATTCCCATGCCTCAGTTTCCCGCAGGGTACTCCCCCCAGCCGACACCTGTTTCCGGAGCACAGCCACTGCTCTGCTCTCATCCCAGTTCAGGTCATCTGCCTTACCGCAGCCACCTCCTAACTCTGCCTGCTTTCCCTCGCCTCCCACTTTGTTTCGACCCAGAGCCTAAGAAACCCTGGTCTTGGAAAGCAGACAGAAAAGTTCCTGGTTCGTGGGAGACAAGAGGATGAGTTCACAGGGTCCTACGCGACTGTACTCTTGACCCTCGGTCTGTCTCTGGCCCTTCCGGGACTTCTGCCACTCTACTCGGTCCTCCATGGGCTTGCAGCTACACCTGCCTCTTGGCTAGTCCTTCAACAGGCCAAACACATTCCTGCCTCGGTGACTTTGCACTTGCTTTTTCCACTTTCTGGACATTTCTCCCTTATACACCTGCCTGGCTCCTTTGCTTGTTTGCTTGTTTTTTTCAGGTCTTAGTTCAAATGTCACCTTATATATCAGTGAGATTTCCCCAGGATTATTCTACGTGATACAGCAATCACCAACCTTTCTTCCTCAGGCTCCTTACCCTATTTGATTTTCATCTATAACATTAACAACAATTTGACATAACATGCACTTCTTTGTTTTCTGAATCTGCCCGCTGACATATAAGCTCTACCATTATTTTGCTCATAACTGGATCTTTCCATTTAGAAAAGTTCTGTGGGGTGGGCGAAATAACACAGGGTAGAAGGTGCTTGCCTTGCAAGCAGTCAACCCCGGTGTGAATCCCTGGCAACACATTTGGTACCCCAAGCACTGCCAGGGCTCACTCCTGAACACAGGGCCAGGAATAGCCCCCTGAACACAGCCAGGTGTAGCCCAAAAAACAAAAAAGAGAAAAGAAGGTACCAGCACGTAGTAGATATTCAATAAATATCCATCAGCCCAGAGAGACAGCTCAACAGGATGGAATACATGCTTTGTACCTGGCTAGGAGCCCTGGTTCCCCAAGCTCAGTCAGAAGTCACCCCCAAGCACAGATCTAGAAGTAGCCCCCAAGCAGCAAGGGGTATGAGCCCCCGCAACCCAAAATAATTCAATATCTGTCAAATAAGTGAACTGCTAACCCTGGTAGGCTTAAGCAAATGGGATTCCTCTCAACTCCCTTTGCTCACATAGAATCTAAGGGGCTGAACAATTTGCTTTCAACCTCACCCACTGTCTCTGCATATTTCTACTTGCTATCACTGCTCTAACCATCACCTTCCTTCACAACTTCCAGCCTCCGACCCTATTCACCCTGACCTCCCTGCAACAAGCCCTAGGGGCTGCTGACAGAGGGTAGCCTCTATGTTCCAGAGTCACAGCTTACTGCTCCTGCTCCCAGAGTTCCTGGTTCCCCCTAGGGTCATGGGTGAAGCCCTTCAGTAACTCCCCGCTACTTGCTACCTACTCACCCTGTCATCCATTCACCTGCAAAATCCCTCAAGTGCCCAGAGCCCCAGCTGATGGGGTGATTTCGGCCATAAAGGACTGTCCCTTGTCTGAGCACCTGCCCGCCTCAGCTTCCCACATGGCACAGAGCAGGCTGAGTGAGTTCTGTGCAAAGGGCACGTCATACCCTGAACCCGCACGGCCTGTCAGGGTCAGAGTATCAGCCCTGCAGCTGAGCCCATGGGGCAGGCCGACCCAGGGCAGCAGCGGCCCAGATAGGCCTCCCCAGAGGGAAGAAGAGCAGGTAGACAGGAGAGGAGGAACAGCACTGTAGGCTGCCCGGTGGAGGCACCTGCCCTCTTGGCCTGCCTGTACTATATCTCTCTCCTTCCCAGTATAATCACAAGGCCCAGAGGACAAGCCGGGCCTGGCACCTCATCTCCTTCTCCTGCAGTGCCCCAGTCAAGCTGCCCAGAGGTCAGGGATGCTCCGCTTGGTTGAGGAGCCAATCACTGTAAAGATCTTCCCTTTCATAAAGTGTAGGATAACACTGTTTGTCCTTTCAGCCTTGTCTCAGGAAACTTAGTTTATCTTAAAGCAATGTCCTTACTGTATGGACACAGGAAGACAGTTAATATTATGCCTTTGTAACTTGGGAGTTGACTGACTCCGAATAATATTTACTCCTGGGCATCGGCTTTCTCAACTCAGCTGCCCTTAGTTCCTAGCATCCCAAAAGCAGGGTCCCGACGAGGGACTGAATGGACCCAGGCCAAGCTGTGAGCTACCCTGGTATCAAAATGGGCCAGGCCAAAGCACCACAATACTCAACTATAAATTGAGAGCATGATCATGGACAAATGCTGTCATGATCCAGAAGTAACAACGAGATTAGGACCCTGCTGGGGTTAGGAAGACTAACCTGGCCTGAGGACTGTGGTCTGGAATATAAAATAGTGAGATGTCCTCAGGAAGAACCAAACTGTAAGTTTATATCTCTTACTGTGCTCATACAGCATGACATTGCTAGAAATATTAGAAGTAGATTTACTACAACTAGCTGAGGAAAGAAGAAAGCGACACACCCTGGATGGGATCCTGCCCTAAAGCGGATCTCATAGTAATCTGGAGTAATCTCCTTAGATGAGATTTTATCCTTGAGTTTTAATCTCCTGGAGGAGTGGTCTTAATCCTCTTTTTTGATCTGTTAATGTCCAACCCACCTTTGTGTCACTACCTTATGTGATTGCTATATAAACTAAGACTATAAGAGTGACAGGGTCAGAGGCTAGTGAGAATCAGGGGTCAGAGTCGGAGGCAGAAAGAGAGTGAGAATCAGGGGAGTGGGAATCACGGGTCAGAGTCAGAGGCAGAAAAAGAGAGTCAGGAGGGCTGGAGTGATAGCACAGGAGGTAGGGCATTTGCTTTGCATGTGGCTGACCCAGGTTTGATTCCCAGCATCCCATATGGTTCCCCGAGCATTGCCAGGAGTAATTCCTGAGTGCATGAGCCAGAAGTAACCCTGTGCATCTCCGGCTGTGACCCAAAAAGAAAAAGAAAAAAAAGAAAAAGAGAGGGAGTCGTCGGAGCAAGAAGTAGGCGAGGGAGCTCCAGAGAGAGAAGCAGAAGGGGAATCAGAGGAGAATGGAGAGGAGATTGGAATAAACTGCAATTGAGACCGACCAGCCTGGCCCTCATTCCTTCCTTTGCCTGCCCATCGCCAACAGCCGTCCAATCCAGTCCATACCTAGCGGCTTGAGAGCACTGAACGTGGGCGGCAAGAGAGAGCTGCCTGGAGAGCCCGCGAGAACACATCACACATCATCCCTTCCTTCCGTGTGAGAGTATATATTTTACAACAAAGCACTGCTCGCTGCTCCCTGGTGAGCAGGGAAGGCTGGGGCAGGGGCTCTGTTTTACAGAAGAGGGAACTGAGGCTATGCGGGAATCCACTGGGTGTGTCAGCAGAAGCGGAGGTGAGAGTGGGAGCCAGCGGTGACCTTAGTTTCACAGTCTTAGTGCAGCTCTGAGATCTGAGAACCAGGGAGACGGAAGTGGTCCATCTAGATCTCACCTTGCATGACAAGCAACTGTGGCCCAATGAGGCAGGGGCCCTTGAGACTTCTGCTACCTGCCCCCAGGTGTGTATTTTGGGGGACAAGGGGCAAATTCTCATTTCTCATTGCCCTGAACTGGGCAAGCCATGAGCAAGGCTGAAAAGGAACAGCTTTGGCTCACCCTGCCGACAGTCACCACGTGATATCACAGCCACCAATCCCCCAACCAAACACACCCACAGGGAGAGGGTTCAAAGGGCCAGAGTGCAGGCCTGGTCCTTTGAGTACTGCTGCAAGTGAGTCCAGAGCACTACCCAGTGTAGCCTCAAAAACAAAACCAAAACACACCCTGCACCACACAGATCAAACAAAATGTGCAGGTCCAAGACAGCCCTGCGCCAACAGACCACAGCCTCTGGCCGAGTCGTGATTTCAGTCCTGCCTCCACTGCAGTGCGGAGTTATGAGGCCAGGGACACATCACTTCACCTCTCTGGCCTAGAAATCTGAATATAACTGAAGCATCCAAATGGCCACAGGCAGTCTCATGAGTTTGAGGACAACCCAAGAGAAAAGCATGAAAGAACATGCCACATGTGCTGGAGAGGCGATGACTGAAAAGTGGAAAACACCAGGGGCTGGCAGGGACAAATCTCACACACCTCTACTATGCTTCTAAGTTGGTAAAATCAACTTTGACAACGTTCACAAAGGAAAAACACAGGCACCCACACCATTCCACAGCTAGGTACACACCAACGCTGAAAAGGTACAGTCACCAAATGATGCGTATCCCAGGCCAAAGCAGCATAACTTGTTAAAGGTCGAGAACAGCGATGACTCAATGCCCAGTAACAAGGGAACAGATCACTACAATGTGGTCTGATCACACAGCAAATGGATAGGGCCATGAGGATGAAGGAAGGACAGCCTCCCTAAAACGTACATGAATCTGAATCAAAAGCCAGATATGAGTGTTGATTCAGAGAATTCAAAGAGGGGTCAAACCAGTTCACGGCTATGAGAAGTTAGTTTAGAACTGGTAACCTTAGGGAGAGGAGAGGGGCTGGGAAGGGCATGAGAGGACTTTGAGGGAATTAGAAATGCTTCATTTCTTGATTATAAGTGCTGATTTCATGGGTGTATCTACTTTTTTAAAAAATTCACAGACCTGCATGGGGTTTTGAAAAACTGAAGGGTGGGATGGAGAGCTAATACAGGGGTTAAGGCACTTGCTCTGCACATAGTCCAACCCCATTAGATCCCCAGCACTACACACGGTCCCCTCAGCAGTGCTTAGGAGGGATCCCTGAGCACAGAGAGTATCACTGGGGATGGTTCTAAACTCTTTGTCCCTCCCCATTTTTAATTTTTCTATTGTGTTGTCTTGTTTGGGGACTTACTCCTGGCTCTGCACTCAAGAATTACTCAAGTTTGGGGGGACCAGGTGGGATGCCAGGGATAGAACCTCATTGCAAAATTGTGCACTATTGCTCTGGCCTCAACTTCCCAATTGTTTTTGAAGATTTTGGGTCTTACCCAGCAGTGTTCAGGCAGTGTGTTTGGAGACCATGTGGCACCTGTGATCAAACTCAGGCCTCCCACTTGCAGAGCACTGGCCCTTGGAGCCACCTCCCTGACCCCAGGACTTATATGATTTATGTCTCTGCAATCCTTTAGTAAGAGGTAACACTAAGGGCTGAAGAGTTGACCCCACTTCAATCCCTGGTAACAAGTATGGTCCCCTAGCATCACCAGGAGTGATACCAGGGCACAGAGCCAGGAGTAAGCCCTGAGCACTGCCAGGTGTAGCCCCCAAATGAAACAAAAAAAAAGATGACAACATTAAAACAGAATCGCCACCACACTCACAGCCAACCCTCCCCCCCCCCCCCCACACACACATGCATGAGAATGAATCCCCTGAAAAACCCAGGTATGCGCAACTTCTGACTAAAATCTCCAGGCTGGCAAGGAGTTGGGAATGGGTCCCCTTCTCCCATCTCCCTGTGCTTCTGGGTCCCTAGCAGTCACATGCACGAACTGCCTCTCGGCACCATATAAGTGCATTAACAGCCATGATCCAGAAACTCACAAATAAACCTCAGAGGACAACATTAAAACAGACCTAGGGAAAGGATTCAAAGGGCTTGTGCATATGCAAAGCTTGCAGGAGCCCTGGATTTGATCCCTGACACCACCAGGTCCCCCAAACAACACTGGAGCACCATCACCAGGTGTGGTCTAAAAACCAAAAAAAAAAAAAAAAAAAAGCTGGAGCTGGAGTGATAGGATAGTGGGTAGGGTGTTTGCCTTGCATGCAGCCAACCCGGGTTCGATTCCCAGCATCCCATGTGGTCCTTTGAGCACCGCCAGGAGCAATTCCTGAGTGCAAAACCAGGAGTAACCCCTGTGCATAGCCGAGTGTGACCCAAAAAAGCCAAAAAAAAAAAAAGTCACTGTATGAAGCTAACTGCATATGACAAGGTGCTCATTATCACTGATCTCAGGGAAATGCAAATCCAAACAATGAGATTATCACCTCACACCTGTGAAAATGTCCAGAAAAGGGTGTTAGTAGGATTCTGGAGAAAAAGCAACTCTCATATAATGACTGTTGGTGGGAACGTAAATGGGTCAAGTGTCTATGAAAAACAGTAAGGAGATTTCTCAAATAATTAATAGAATAATGGGACCAGGATGTGGTTCAGTGGCAAAGTACATGCCGTGCACATATGAAAGAGGGGTTCAATCCTCAGTAACACACACACACACACACACAAATTCCATTCCTTAGTATCTATCCCAAGAACACAAAACATGAATTTGGAAAGATGTACGTGCATTATGTTCATTGTAGCACAATGTACAACCAAGATCTAGAAAAACAAGTACAGCACGCAGAGCGCTTTCCTTGCACATGGCTGACCTGGGTTCAATCCCCAGAACTACATGGAACCCCCTGAGTACTTCCAGGAATGAATCCTACACAGAGAGCTAAGGGTGAGCCCTAAGGACCACTGAATATGGCTCAAATACCAACAACAAAAAAAAATGTATTATATAACAAGATAGAGACAAAGACACATATAAAAGAGAAGTCAAATGTGGCAAACTGTTAGGAATTGGTGAATCTAAAAGGAAAATTGGCCTTGTATTAATTCCTTGAGCTTTCTATATATTTGAATGTTTTCCTTAATAAAAAGCTATGGAAAGGGGCCATAGTGAAAAGGGGCCAAGGGGAAAGAGTGAGAGCATAGTGGGTAGGGTGTTTGCCTTGCACACGCAACCCAGCTTTGATCCCAGGCATCCCATATGGTCCCATATAGTCTCCCAAACAAGGGTATGACTGAAAAAAGTTAAAAAAAAAAAAAGCTTTGGGAAATCCATAACAACAAAAAAAGAAGGGATGGAAGAAAGGAGAGAGGCAGCTATAAAAATCTTAACAGTCCTTGGGACCGCAGAACATACAACAGGCATGGCTCTTGCCTAGGAAGCTGCCAAACCGGGTTCGATCCCTGGCACCCCATATGGTCCCCTGAGTACCGCCAGGAGGATCCCCGAGCACAGAGCTAGGAGTAAACCCTGAGCGCTCCAAGTGAGGGAGGCCCCAAAATCAAAACAAATTAAAATTTTACAGTATCTTAACAATTCTTGAACCTGGATGATGTTTATATGGGAATTGCTCGAAGTTTTTCATAACAAAAACTTCCTTTTAGGGGTCAGAGAGATAGTACAGTGGGTAGGACACTTGCCTTGCACACAGTTGACCTCAGTTTGATCCCAGAGCCCCATGTAATTGCCCCAACCCTGCCAGTAGGAAGTCCTGAGCACCACCTGGTATTTTTAAAAGTTTATTTTAAGAGTTTATTTTAAACAGACGCATGGGCTGGGGCAGTGTCTTGGGCACACTGGTGGTGGTGAGGTGAGGGAAGTCTATACCAAGACCATATTAACACCACTGTAAAAAACAATACTGTATAAGCTGTGTGTAAAAAAGTAAAACAATAGGGGGCCAGAGCAATAGTACAGTGGGTAGGGCACTTGCCTTGCACACAGCTGACCCAGGTCTAATCTCCGGCATCCTGAGCATGTCAGGAGTGATCCCTGAACACAGAGCCAAGAGTAAGCCCTGAGATAACAGGTGTGGCCTCAAAACAAAAATAAACAAAACTATAATAATTTAATTAAAAAAAAAGACATGGGAGGAGGCTGGAGAGATAGTACAGCAGGTAGGACATTCGCCTTGCATGCAGCCAACCTGGATTCAATCCCTGGCATCCATATGGTCCTCCAAGTACCACCAAGAATAATTCCTGAGCATTGAATCAGGAGTAACCCGTGAGCATCACTGGGTGTGGCCCCAGAAAGACAAAAAGAAAGAAAGAAAAAGGACATAGGCTGGGGTATGGCTCAGCAGTAGGGCAAAGGCCTTGCATGTGTGAGGTCGGGTTGGCCCCAACATCATGCACACACGAGTCCACAACGCAGTCCAGTTTCTTCTTCTGCCCCTGAGTGTCTGTGGTTTTCCCAGGGGCTGGCTCTGACCCCTGCCGCTTTCCCAGCCCAGCAACTCTTTTTCCTGTTCTTTATTCTTTCTGGTTTTGGGGCCACATCTGGCAGTCCTCGGGTCTTACTCCCGGTGGGCTCAGGGAACCATATGTGGTGCCAGGCTCAGCTCTGTGCAAGGCCTATACCCACCTTACCCACTCTACTATGGCTCCAGTCCTCTTTGTTTTTATGTTCACCATTTCATGTTAGAGAAGGACACAAAGAAATCCTCCCTCTCCCGATCATGGCAATTTTACTCTATCCCACAAGCACAGCCACTAAAATCTATTAGCAGTAGAGACTGTGGGAGTGAGATGGAAGAGACCCAGCATCTTTCTTTTTCTCATACAGGTCCTGGAGGAGCAGCTCAGGAGTTTGCAGACAGGGAAGAGGCTCTGAGCTTTCCCCACTCACACACGAGACTCGAACACAGCCAGTCAGATTCCAGAGCATGCATCCTTCACCCCACCCTGGGGCAGAAAGCACCCTCACACATCCTGTTTGGGAGAGAAACTCAGGCTCTTTCCAGCTCCGATGTGCCAGAAGGCACTTTTCTCCCCACCTTGTGCAATGATCAAGCCACGCCTTTGCCCTCCCCGCACCCCGTGCCTCCAGCAGTGCTTCCTCCAGCTCCATCGTGGACCCTGGCAGCTTCCCACAATGACCAGCCACCTCCAGAGTTGGAAAACACTCTCCCTCGTGTCCAGCTGCCTCTATTCGACAATCTGGCTCCACTGCCACAGGCTCTGAACTCACAGCTCTGAGTCTTCTCTTCTCCCCAGCAAAGGAGGCCCCCGACAGCACCTACTTAATAGAGTGGCTGCAAAAAATCAGCCTAGCACGTGGCTGCAATGCGGCTGCGCTATATCTCACACTCGACACCACTGGTGTAGAGGAGTAGCGCACCACCTTAGATGAAATGGAAAGTAGAAGGCAACCAACCTCGATTAAAAAGATATTAGCACACAGGCTCAACCTGTAACAACAGGCTAGTAATCTCTTATACAAGGGCTTAATGGCTCCAGGGTGAGAAACAACAATCTTTACACACTTTCTTGTAAGAAAATTGTTTTTGATCATTTTTAGCAAATTAAGCATAACAAACAATACAAAATAAATTATTTAGGACCTGCTGTTGGGGCAGGCTTGGGTGGTGGCTGGCAGGTGGGAGGGTGTAATGGTGGTAATGTGGTGGAGTTGGTGTTGGAATATTGAATGTAATAAGTTATTGTGAACAATTTTAAAAATTAATTTTAATTAAAATTAAAAATCAACTGAGGGGTCAGAGCAATAATAAAGCAGGTAGAGCATTTTTCCCTGCACGCAGCCACCCCAGTTCAATTCCCTGGCATCCCATATGGTCCCACAGCACTGCCAGGAGTAATTTCTGAGCTCAGAGCAACCCCCTGGACATCTCTAGGTGTGGCCTCAAACTAAAAAAACAAAATCAACTGAGATCATGTAAGGGAAGAACTCAGTGTGGTGCCTGGTATCTAGAAACACTGAAGAAATGCATTTTCACAACTTGTTCTTGGCTCTCCCTCCCTCTTCTACTCACCCTGTTTCCTGTACCTGGCTGCTCTGCCAGGCCTCGGGGCTATACTCTGTGGCAATAGGACCTCCAGCAGCCTCAACCCCACGACGTAACCCACTCAGACATACCCCCTGGGAGTGCAGATACTCCACGGTCTTGCTGATGGTGTATAGAACGCAGCTAGCCTCCCGCTCCGAGAAGAATTTCTGCCTGAGGATCTTGTCCAGTAGCTCGCCACCCCGCATCAGCTCGGTCACCAGGTACACGTGTTTGCCGTCATCATACACCTGCCAGAGACTTCACTGTGGGCCCTTCCTGGATGCCAGCGTGGGACCCCAGGGGACCTGCCCATTCATAAGACCAGGACAGAGGTACATGCATGCAGGACACACAGCCAGGACTTTTAGGGGTCCTGAAAGGGTTGTCACTCTGGACCCCTGTCCTCCCCAGATAGGACAATGCGGGAATGTCCCCTGGTGGACGGGAGAGATTTCAAGTTGGAAATGGACAGTCCTGGGGGTGTAGCCAGACAGGAAGCAACAAGGGCCCTTCATCCCATGCCATAAGCAGTGGAGAGACTCAGTGACAAAGATTAGGCATTCCCACTGAGCCCCTCCAAAAGCAGAGTGCCCCAGTGCCCACCATAGTCTCAAAGCACTCCCCACTCACATCTTTGAGAGTGATGATGTTGGGGTGCTGCCCGTACCGCAGAAGAATCTCAATCTCTTCTGAGGGATCCCGCTTGCTCTTGTCAATGACCTAAGGAAAGGGGTGCATGTGCAGTGTTAGGTCTCTCCCTGCTCCAGAGGCCACAGGGCAGGGTCCCTGTCTTTCACCCAAATGTCCTGTTCCCATCTGGAGCCTCAAGCAGAAATCTTCTCCCCCATCCAGCTACAACTACAGGGGCGCCTCCCACAGCCTCTTCAGAATGGGGTCAGTCAGGGCCGGGATTAGGGTTAGGGGACAGGAAAGAGTGATGAGGCAGGGCTGGAGCTATAGTACAGTGGGTAGGGCATTTGCCTTGCGCACGGCCAACCTAGGTTCGATCCCCAGCATCCCATATGGTCCCCCTGAGCACTGGCAGGAGTAATTCCTGAGTGCAGAGCCAGGAGTTACCTCTGTGCATCACTGGGTGTGACCCAAAAAGAAAAAAAAAAAGAGTGATACTAGTCCTGCAGGTGCCCGATCTCAGTTTGATCTCTGGCACCACAAGGCCCCCAAGAGTCATCAGGTTTAGCCCCCCTAGGCCGCAAGCTGATTGTGTTTGAACAGCACCGGATCCTCAGGACCTGAATGCAACCTTCTAGTAGGTGGCCAAGAACTGCCAGGAGGGAGCTCCTCTGAGCACTGCTAGGGAGGGTCTCCCGACTCCCACCGAAAAGAAAGGTCAGAGACTCACCTTGACAGCATACTCTGTGTTGGTGGCTTTGTGGACACAGCGCTTACACACAGAGTAGGAGCCCACACCGATGGTCTCCTTTACCACGTAGCCATCGCTGAACACCAAGTTCTTCCCGTGTAGTTGCTGCAGGAAATGAGGGGGGTGGGGCTGACGTGCCAGTCTCACACCAGGGTCCCAGGGTCAGAGAGATGGCACCGGGCAAGGACAGGGAGCTGGCCAGGAATCTACCCCTCTTTGGGGCTCAGTTTTCTATGTTCCATGATAGGTACACAGCAGGTTCCTGGACTGCTCGGTTGCAGTATACAGGGTGTGTATGTGGGGGGGGGGGGGGGGGGCGGGGGAGCAGGCAACAAAGCAGCAACCCACACAGGTCTCAGTAGGAGCCCTTGGCAGGGATAGAGGGGTTGTGCAGGGGCTCTGAGAGGACTGACAGGCCTCAGCGGGTGAAGGGCCCTGAGCTGACAAGCTGGCTCCTTTTCTGGGTGACAGATCCATCTCACGGGTTATCAGGGTTTGAGACACTAATCGCAGCAATGCCTCTTGTGGTGCTGGGCACAGTAGACCCTTATCTCTCCTTTCATCAGGAGATCTCACATGTTGGGGATGGCCCTAGCAACTGCCACAGTCTTCTCGTCCAGCCTCTCTTTTGGACATAGAAGTGCTAGTTGGAGAAATGACACAATCACCACAAATGCTAGCTCATGTCATCCTCTCAAGGACCCTGCGGAGGAAGGTTCTCTCACCCCTCACTCCTGAAAGACGGAGAAATTGAGGTCAGCTCAGCCCCCTCGGCTTGTGACCCTGGAACCCAAGCAACCAGCTCAAGTTGACATTCTCACTTCAGAATCTAAGTTTGCTCGGGAGCCAGGAAGGTGGACAGATGGCAGACTAGGGGCAGACATGAGTCACCTCCCGTCCCTGTCGGGAACCTGATAGCCACCTCCAGGATCACCACCCCCACAGCCCACCCCCACCACGTCCTTGCATCAACGCAGGCCCCACTGTCTGGGCTCTGCGCTGGTGAACAAGTATCTGTCATCTCTGCTGTACAAATGGATCCCGAAGAAGCTGAATGGCAGTGGCCTCCAGGGTGGCACAGGGTGAGAACCTACATCCCCATGCCATGTGGCTAGCAGGTGGTAAAGGGTAACTGAGCAGCCAGCTCTGTCCCTTACCTGAACCACCGAGTGCAATGGTGCCTGCGTGGAGCGAGGTTTGCCATCATCATCCATCAGGCCAGTGGCCACGAAGCTGAAGCCACGGAACAGTTGATGGGCGCCCGCACTGGGGGGAATGCCTGGGGAGTCTGGAGGGGCAGAGAAGGGGCATGAGTCTGAGTGGCATCCCTGACCCCAAGGTAGCCCCACAAAAAACAAAGGAAGGGCATCAAGGTAGCAGCATGGGGGACCATTTGTCCTAGGCCTCTGCTTGCCCAATTCCAGCATGTGTTTAGACCAGCCCAGCCTGGTGGGAACAGAAAAGGCCCCAGATCAGGGTCTGGTCTATGCCCAAACACTTCATTCCTTCTAGATGCTTCTCCCCAGCCTCCCTAACTTGGTTTGCCCCCTCAGCACAGCAGCTAGTCAGAGAGTGGCCCCACCAATCTGCTGCCCTACCTGTGCTTGTCATCCGGCTGCTCCCTTCTTTCCACAGGAAAACACCCCTTGGCCAGGCAGGTGAGATCTTAGCCACTCTCTCCCCACCCATTCCTTGTTGCCAAACTTCTTGGGGCCTTAGTCTCTGAGCCACCTTCTAGGCTGTTCCCGCCAGCTAGGTAACCTATTCCTTGCCCACGCGTGCCTCCTGGTAGCTAGGGAGCACTGCTAGTCAGACTGCACCCGGTGCCTATTTTCACATCTCTCTCCCCACAGAAAGCCTGTGCCTGGGTCTCCCCATCTTCACATGGGGGGTCCGGTGCAGTCACCCAATATAAGAACAGAAATCAGGGCTGGAGCAAGAGTACAGCAGGTAGGGCGCTTGCCTTACATGTGGCTGACCCAGGTTTGGCTCCCAACATCCCATACTGTCCCCTGAGTACCAGGAGTAATTCCTGAGAACAGAGCCAGGAATAAGCCCTGAGCACACCACCATGTGTGGCCAAAAAGAAAAAAGAAAAAAAAAATAGGACAGACTGTTCCATGTGCTCAGAGATGTGCAAGCCATCGTGAGAATGCCCACACACACATCCTGACCGCCTGTCTGCCAAAACCTGTCCCTGTGGGTGCGTTGTCAACTCCCAGTTACCCAGCCAGAGGTTAGGACTGACCAACCTCCCCCCTAGACCTTGAGTTCTCACAGAAAACCTGGGGACCCAGGAGGTCTGTGACTGAGCCCCGGTCCACATGGATATCCTGAGGCCTGGTGGGCAGCATAGCCAAAGCCAATCCCCACACTTGCTCCTGACACACAGGCATGACACCTTAGCACTGCCACCACATAGCTCCACCTCACCTTTCTGCCAGGTCAGATATTTTAGCCCTGACGCCAGCATGAAGCTGATGTCTAGGGCTGACAGTGGGCTGGAAAATGCCTTGGGCAGGGGTCCTGATGTCTCCATGTGGCCTTAGCTTCCCACAGCCCCACCCTCAGCCTGACACAGAGACACTGCAGAGATGCAGGACAGAGTGAGAGACTCCCCCACTGACAGCCCCCAGTGACCGCCAGTCACTGAGCCCCAGCCCAAGGTGCCCTGAAATCTGCTCCCCTCCCGGGCCAGCCCCAAACAATCCAGACAAAAGACATACCCCTGGGGGTGCGGGACGTGAACTCAGTGTCAAAGTAGAAGGTGTCGTCGGGCTGAGCCACAGCTGGCTTAAAGGGGGGTTTGATCTCCCGACGGTACAGCTTCTGCAAGGTGGGGAAGCATGAGGTTACCTGAACCAGCCCAGGAGCTCCCAGGCAGGAGAGGTGGTAAGGCAGAGCCCCTCCCCACCACCTGCCGAAGAAGCCTGGGGGGGACTGGGTGGGTGTGTCCATACCCCCCCACGGGGTGGGTGCACACTCACGTTCCAGTCGATGGTGGAGTAGAAGACATGCCGCTTGATCTCCTCTGCCCCATCAGGACCAGAGCCTGGAAGAACCCAAGAGACAGTCAGCTCCTGAGGAGGCACCCCCGGAACCCCCTCACATGCCTGCCATCTAGGACCAGCGGCTGGAGCCGTCCACTGAGAGCAGAGTTGGGGGAAGGACTCAGGCTGCCCCCAATCTGTCCAGCCATCACCCTACACCCCACTCAGCATTTTCCATTCGCTAGAGCCCTTTATGAGGAGGAAGGCCCAGGGTGGGGGCCAGGCGACCCACCCAAGGCTACAGAGTCGGCTTGGAAGCGGGGCACATTCTGAGAGCCACAGAGAGGGCCCTACCCCACCGCCACCCCACGTCCTGGGGTTCTTATCCATGGCCCACGTCTGCCATGGGCCAGGATCACCCTATTCGCTCTCAGGGCCTGGCCTGGACCTTTTAAAGCAGGTCGAGATCTAGGTGAACCCAGGAGCTAAACAGCACATGCGCTCTGTGGGACCATGGGCCTCACCCACTCCAGAGCCAGGGGAGCCAGCCGGAACCTCACCACCCCTGGGACAAGGGCCAGTGTCCAGAGCTGCTTAGCACCCATGGGGCCCTCATCCCTGTACCCAACATTCCTGGACAGCCTCCGTGGGTCTGCAGCAAAGACCTGACATAGGAGCCTGTGCTCACACACTCACGTGCTCAAGCCTGTGCCAGCAGCCTGGGCTGTGAGCTGTGTGGGGCCTCTGTCCTTGTCCCAGGGGGTGGGAATGACTCAGTTCCTGCCTACCCCCACACACAGGTCCCCCCTCCCAAACGCCACACACAGAGCCAGAAAGGAGGGGGGCCAGTGGCATTGTCTGCCCACACAAAGGACAACAGACCCTTTCAACCCCAGATGTGGCCTCGTGGCCCGCTGCGGCTCTACCCCACTCCCTCTGCGGCCGGAGCTGCTTACCAAGCCGGTTGGCAGGATTCCGCTTGAAGAGAGCCCGCAGGAGGCTCTGGGCTTCTGTGCTCAGAAACTGGGGCATGCCTAGCTTCGCCCTGAAACAGCCCCGGGCGTCATCAGGGGGAGCCCCGCCCCAGACCTGTCTCCCCTCCTCCCTCTGGCCAGGTCTGGTTTCTAGCTCAGTCCAGACAAGCCACCTACTAACTCACCTCCTGAGGGTTTCGGGGACCCCTCCCACAGGCCCAGGGAAAGAAAGGGAGACCCTGGGAAGCGCAATGCTCACCCCCAGAGGACCAGCTCATGAGTGGGGGAATCTGAGGCAGCCACAGGGTATTACTCTGGCCCCCAAAGTGGGGGGACTGCGGGTGGGAGGGACCCAAAGGTGTCAGGGAGGGGAGGGTGCATACTTCAAAATCAGTGTCATAGTCTCCTTCCGGTCCTTCCCCTGGAAGGGCAGGGAGCCTGTCAGCATCTCGAACTGCAGAGAACAAGAGTTCAGTTAGCTCTGTCCTGGGCTCCTCTGCCCAGGCCACTCAGCTTCAGTCCCAGGAGTCTAGCAGGCTTGACATATAGAAGCCCAAGTCCACCTGGGCCCAGACTATCAGCCCCTCACCTCACTGTCATCTAGACCCCTGGGGGCAGCTCTAGGAGCCAGAAACAGGGAGTGGCTCTGTCCATGGCTAAGGGGTGGGCTCCGGGCTAAGCCCAAGCCCAGGACCCTTCTAAAGAAGGGAGGCTAAAGAGACAGTAAGGCGCGTGTCATATATGCAGCTGATCCCAGTTCAATCTCCAGCACCATGTATGGTCCCACCAGCAGCACCAGAAGGGATGAGCACAGTGCCAGGAGTAGTCCCTGAACACCACAGCATGTGGCAAATAAAAAGGGGGGGCCCAAAAAAGAAGGAAATGAAATGAAGCTTAGGTGTGTTGAAAGGTGTGTTCAGCTAGGCTGAGGGAAAGGAAAGCCACACAGACCATCAATCCCCATGTACAAATAGAGAAACTAAGGCCCACAACTGAGTTGGCAGCTTCAGCCCTGCCTGAGCACTCACCATCAGCACCCCATAGGACCACCAGTCAGCACTGTGGGTGTGGCCCTGGCGGCTGACAACCTCAGGGGCCATGTACTCCACCGTCCCGCAGAAGGAATAGGCCTTCTTCTCGTGGTCAATGGCTTCCTTGCTCAGGCCAAAGTCTATAGCCGGAAGTGCAAGAGGACACGTTTTCAGGAAGTCCTACCTGCCCCACTGCCACCTTGCATCCCCAGCCTGTCCCCTCACCAAGGCTCTCAGGGATGACCCCCAACACCCGGGGGAAGCTGAGGCCCAGAAAAGTGCAGTAACTTGCTCAAAGTCACAAGAGGGAAGCAGTGATTCCAACCTAGACAATTCTGGGAAGCCATGGCTTTAAAGCCCTTACAGGGTCTGGTACAGACATGGGAAGAATGAGATCCAAGCGCTCAGCCCAGCCCCATGACCAGCCCCATCCATGATCACAGCTAGTTAGTGGTAGAGACAGGGCTAGAAGGGACAGGACTCCCCACTCACCAGTGAGCTTGATATGGCCCTCCTCATCCAGAAGGATGCTGTAAGGGAGAGATGGGTCAGCATCCTTCAGTTGTGGCCCCTCCATGGGTTGTGGTAGCGCTAAGGGGGATGGGGGTTAACCCAGCCCAGAGAAGGTGTTTCATTCCGGTCCACCTGATGGAGGAAGACTGGGTGGGGGGACAATGCCTCACAGGTGTGTTGCCTACTTTCTTTGCTAATCCTGAGAAAACTGTGAGCTTGGTACCTCTGAAATGGGTAGAGGTATGTTAAATGGGGCGATTTTAACAGTGGGGAAACCAAGGCTCAGGGAAATTAATATCCCCCCTCATGATGAAAGCTAGTAGGTGGGGAGATAAGATTTGAATTCAGGTCTGTCTAATTTTAAAAGCAGATCTCATTCCACTCACTGCCACCCCTGGCTTCTAAGGTACCAACCAAGGATATGGAGATGCTAAAGAAAATTCTAGAACATTTAAGAAGGCCATATCAAGAAACAGTTTTTACTGGCAACTTCTTGAGAGGCACACTGGATTAGCAAGAAAGGTAGGCAAAGCCTTGGGCATGGGGCAGGTGGGGCACTTGGACTTTACTTAGGGCCATACTAGTGCATCATCAGCCCCCCACCTACTGCCTGCTGCACCCCCATTCGGCTCCCCCCACCCTGGGACAGTCCAAGAGAGGGGGGCTTTCTCAGGTAGTGCTGCTACGCCCACATCCATGAGAGTGGGTGGATGGGGAGTCCGGGGGGGCCTCAGGGTCTATCTCTGCTCTCCGGGGAGGCAGGCGGGGGCCTTCACTCACTTTTCAGGCTTCAGGTCTCTGTAAATGATGCCCAAGCTGTGGAGGTGGTCCAGGCCCAAAGCCAGCTCGGCTAAGTAAAATTTTACATCCTCCTCTGTGAACATAACCTGCAGCAGAGTGGAGAGAGTCAGCTGGGGAGCTTCTGCCTCAGGAGCTGGGCCACTGGGTGTCAGCAGCTTCCTGGGCAGACCCTCAGACACCCATGTCCAACATTCTTCTCTTTATACAGGAGTCTAACATGTGGAAAGTCCATATTACAAGGCAGTGTTCATAAACAGCAAATTATGAGAAAATGCCGCCATCAGGATGGTCCAGAAGCGGCAGCAGAAGACAAAGATAAGGATATTTGCCTGCTAATCAATGCTCCATAGTAAAATGGAACGAGGACTTTCTCCAGATTCCAGTAGGAGACATTTTTAGGTGAGGGGGCCACACACAGTGGTGCTCATGCCATACTCTTGCTTCTGTGCTGGGGGATCACCCCTGGTGAGGCTCAGGGACAATAAGTAGATCAAACACAGGCCAGGCACAAGCAAGGCAAACACCCCACCTGCTGTACTACCGCTCTAGTATGAACCAATCTCTAAGATATACTTTCTTGAGAAAAGTACAGTCCAGAACAAGCCAGACAGAATCATATTTTTACATAAGCAAGTATGAGACAAGATTCAGGCCACTAATTGGACTGACTTGTATTTATAAATGGAATCGAGCTTAAATAAGAAACCAGTAAAAATGTTTATCTAGACAAAGCGTGGGAGGGAGACTGCTCAATACATATGTTGGATTTTTTAAATCATATAAATATATGATTTAGTCAAACATTAAAAAAATAAAATTTGGGAGCTAGAGAGATAGTACAGTGGGTCTTGCACATGGCAGACCCAGGTTTGAACACTGGCATCCCATATAGTCCCTTGAGCACTTCCAGGAGTGATTCCTGAGTGCAGAGCCAGAAGTAACCCCTGAGTATTAAAAAATGGATGTGGCAAAAAGAAATCTAAATAAATAAATAAATAAAATTAGATATAACTTCTGGGGGCTGGAGTGATAGCACTGCGGTAGGGCGTTTGCCTTGCATGCAGCCAACATGGCCGACCCAAGTTCGATTCCTCTGCCCCTCTCAGAGAGCCCAGCAAGCTACTGAGAGTATCTCGCCTGCATGGCAGAGCCTGGCAAGCTACCCGTGATGTATTCAATATGCCAAACACAGTAACAACAAAGTCTCCAATGGAGACGTTACTGGGCCCGCTCAAGCAAATCGATGAGCAACGGGAAGGATAGTGACAGTGACAGTGATAACTTCTGGGCCAGAGGTAGTACAGTGGATACAGAGCCTGCCTTGCACGCAGCATACCTGAGTTCAATCTCCAGCATCACATATGGTCACCCAGCCCATCAGAAGTGATGCCTGAGCATGAAGCTAGGAATAAGCCCTGAACAATGCCAAGCGTGACCCCCAAACCAAAATAAATAAATACTTAAAAGTTCTGCTTATCCCCATTCAAATCCCCAGCACCACAAATGCCCCCAAGCACCACTAGGGATCACTCCTGAGCACAAGACCAGGAATAGCCTCTGAACACTGCCAGGTGTGGCCCTAAAACAACAGAAATAACTTTGGCTCTCTTCCAAAGTCAGGATGTATTAACAGTCCCATGTATTGACCTGGCTCCAAACCTTACACCAATTCAACAGCTAGTGTTGTCATAAGATGCCAAAGTATTAAGCTTCCAGGCCAATGTGATAGTAGTACGACAGGTAGGACACTTGCCATGCATGTAGATGACCCAGGTTCGATCCCTGGTACCCCTTATAGTTCCCCGAGCCCACCAGGAGCCATCCCTGGGAATAGAGCCAGGAATAAGTCCTGAACACAGCTGGGTATGGCCAAAAACAAAAAAAGCATCAAGCTTTCTGGATGGATTTGAAAGACTGAAGTGGGAGCCAATCTTAGCTCCCCAGAATTAAGGCAACACCAGATCCAGAGTCTCATCCTCCTCAGTCCATCTTAGGGGATCTCTGAGGCTTTTTCAGGGGGTAGGAGGTGGTTCTGGGTCAGGAACTGCTGGGTAGGCCTAGACACCAAGTCCAGGCACACCTATCCCACCCCTTCCCAGGCCTTTTGAGGAAAGATCTCATGGACTCAGCTCCTTCCTGGGGCCCTCTGCAGTAAGGTGTAGCTCACCTCTTTAGAGAGTCGTGTGAAGAGGTCCCCGCCACGCAGAAAATCCAGAATCAGGTAGAGTTTTCCCTCTGTCTGGAAGGCTGGGGGAAGGGGACAAGGCCAGGAGTTAGCTGGGTCGTGAACCCTGGCCCTCTGGCCCTAGGGACCTTGGTCAGTCAGGTAGGAAGTGGGGCTGCAGCCCACAGGCCAGGCCAGACTGGCAGATATGGTGGGAGGGGACTTGAGCAATAGTACAGTGGGGAGGGCACTGGCCTTGCATGTGGCTAACCTGGGTGTGATCCCCAGTACCCCATATGGTTTCCCAAGCCCGCCAGAAGTGATCTGAGTGCAGAGGCAGTATTAAGCCATGAGCACAGCTGGGTGTGGCCCAAAAACAAACACACAAATAAAAAAAAAACAGGGTGGGAGTGGGAACATGGGGAGGGGTTGCTGTCTCACCATAGTGTAGCTTCACCACAAAGGGATGGTTTACGTCGGCCAGGATGTCTCTTTCCATCTTGGTCCGAACACGATCGCGCACTGGCCGGAAGAAAGGCAGTCACCACTGGTCTCGTGGCAAACAGGCAGCCCAGGCTTGACTAAGAAGAGTTCGCTTTCTCTTGTCTCTTCCCCTCTCACGGTGGTGCCTGGGCTGGACCTTTGGCACCCTGACACTCCTCAGAGTAACTTCCTACCATGTCCCACTAAGCAACCTCAACTGGGTCAGTTCGACCAACCTACCCTTTTATGACCCTCAGCCTTGGCCCTGTGAACCCTGAGCACCCTCTTCACCTGGCCTGGGCTCAGGGGGAGCTGTCTGAAAAGGCATATCCTGAGGCCATAATTCATACACATGCATCTGAGCAAGACACACACACACACAACCCTGGGGACAAGAACATGCTGCTGTGGGCGTGTGCCTAAGACATTAATATTAATCCTATAGCAAATCATGACACTTCAACTTCAAAGAATTAAAAAAAATCCTTGGGCAATGCTGATGATCAGAAGGTTCATCTTTGACTAAGTTCAGGACTCACCTCCTCCAGGAGTCTGCCTTAATGGGCTAACCGGAGTAGCCCCTCTGTACCTCTATAGTTTTGGTGCTTCCCCCTTCAGAACGCCTTTTACTCTTGGCTTTAATTGTCTGCTTCCCTCCATGCTGTGGCCCTGCTGCAGTTAACTATCTGGATCATGAGTTCCCAAATACCCCTAATATCCTCAAAACACCCCCACACATTTGCTTGGTAAACTGTTCCTCCTTCCCCTACTCATGCTCCAAGGAATAACCCAAATGGGTCATCCTTATGTGAGACCCCCCGCTGTGAGCCATAGCCCACCCCCCCCCCCCTTTGACTTTTCTTAAAAATGTAGGATCCAGGCAAGGTGTTGGGCTCTTTTTCTTCAGATCACGTGCCCTGGACATACACTGCCATCCCACTCAGCCCTAAGACCCCTGCAAGCAATCCTGGCCCAGCTGGGCCCTGCACAGAAGTGGCCCCCACTAACCTTTCAGTGTCGCCTTCTTGAGTACCTTCATGGCATACAGGTGTCCATTGTCTGGCCGGGTGACTTTCCGCACCAGGAACACCTGGGAAGGTCGCAGCAGGAACACGACGTAGAGTTGGCAAGGCTGAATCTGGGAGCATCCACCCTCCAAGACCCAGGCTCCACCTCTCTTTTCCCTGAGCCCCAAGTTAACCTCCTTCCCTTCTAGGGCACCAGCTGACTTTTCATCCTCCCTCCAGACCCTCCTACCCTAACCAGCTGGTCTCGGAGCCCCAAGGTAACCCCTGACCTCCCCCTCTGATATACCTAGCACTGCTCTCCTGCTATGAGCTTAGGACTCACTTTGCCAAAGGATCCCTGGCCCAGAACCTTGAGGAGTTCAAACTGGGACGGGTCTGCCTTCTCGGAGCCAGCCTTGACATGGTGAGTGATGGAGATCTCCTTGAGGACGCCCTCATCCTGAGGGGGAGAGAGAGAGATGATGGGGATGGGATCGGGGCCCTCCGTACCGAACCTCCACAGACAGCCTCCACCCCCGGTCCAGTCAGAGAGTACCCCTGACCAGACCTGCCTCCAATCAGCAGACGCCAAAACGGCCTCCAAGGCCAGGAGGAGCACAGTACCGGTGTGGGGGGGTAGGAGGATAAGACCCTGCTCCTGCTGCTCCTCCTGCCCCAGCCTAACCAGTCCCAGTGAGGCACAAGCACAAGTAGGCCAGGCCAGGCCAGTCCCAAACTCTGGCTCTGGCCCACAGACCTATCCCAGGAAGGTGGTGAACTCCTCTGGGTATCTGCCTGGTCCCCACCCCCACTGCAAAAGGTTTGGGTTTGCCACAATAGGAAGTAGGGTTTGTTCTTATACTGAAAGGCAAAGCTGGCCTTCTGTTCCTGATCAGGATGAGGACAGGATGGTCCTCTGGTCAATAGGATGGGGTTGAGTTGCACAGGGACACAAGAATCACCTACCAACCCAGTTAAGTGCCAGCCTGGGGTGGCGAGGAGTTCAGGTCAGAAAACCTACACTCCACCCACCGGAAGTTCCCTCCTACAAGTCTACATACTTAAAGCCCCTAGCCCGTTTTAGGACGGACCCCTCTGCCCTGCATTCAACCTGCCACTATTGCCCTGAAGGACTGGAGGTTCTCATGCCCCAAGAAGGAAGACTGAGCCAAGGTCAGTCACCCAGGATGGCCTGGGCTGGGCCCGGACAGCCCCCAACCAGCCTAGGCCAACTAGCTGCCTGGGCACCTGTTCCAGGGCCCCCGACAGCTGGGACACTCACCGAGCCCCGCCTGGGGCCAGGGCCAGGGGCAGGGGCAGGCACAGAGGTCTGGCTGATCCTGGGCCGCTGCTTCCTGGGCAGCCAGGGGAGCAGAGCCCAGAGCCACAGACGGGGAGGCTTGGGATCCTGCTCCATCCGCCCTCCAGGGCCGAGGCACCATGGCAGGAGCAGCGGCTCAGGGGCTGCGCGGAGGTGGCCAGGCCTAAGGCGGATGTGCAGGGTGAGGGTGGGGGCTGGGCCCAGCCTGGGGCCCGCCAATCACTCAGGGCCTGTGGTTTCCCTGCTCCAGGCTGACAGCCTCTCGGCGTTCCCTTCCTCTCTCTCTCTCTCCCCCATTGCCTGAGGACTGCCCTGGGGCCCTCCCCCCATCCTCCCTGTGGGCAGCCAAGGGAAAGCCCCGCACAATCCAGCTGCTGAGGAGTTGACAGGTACCAAGAGCGACGGTGCCTGACCACCAGCAGGCCGAAGCCTGCCCCTGCCCCACTGCAGGTGAGGACAGAGAGAGCGGGGCACCCACAGGCAGATACAGGTGGGCACCACACCCACAAAGAGGGGAGACAGAGGTGACAGGTACCCAGCGGGGCACTTGCAGACAGAGCAGGCCTGAGACACACCCAACACTGAGGCCAGGGAACACATCCACACAGGCAGAGATGGACGGAGACCTGAAGCCAACAGGCAGAAACACAAGGGGACAGACGGGCACCCAACAGGCAGACAGATGGGAAGTTCTCAACAGGCGGAGCCGGAGAACACACCCCAACAGGTGAAAACAGGCACAGCACCCCACCACCACCACCACCACCGCCAGAGAAGCCCAAGAGGCAACTGGGCCCGGGGCTGGCGCAGGGTCAGGCCCAGACATAGGGCAGAGTTCTGGGGATGAAGGGGGAAGACACCACCTGCACCCCCAGCCCTGGGAAGGCAGTGCAGTGTTCACACATGGGAACCACCTCCTGGTCGGGTCCGAGGATGGCAGGCTGAGGGGAAGGCTCCCAGGTATAATCTGAAGACTGATGCGGATCCCAAAGCCCCCAGAGCTCCCCATTTCCAGAAATGGGAATCACCAGGCTCCAAGCAAGCCCACGGTTGAGATGATCCAAACTCTGGTTACTGCCTGACTGGGGTCAGCACCAGAGCACCAAGGGGTGGAGGCAGGTCTGAGCCACTTCCTGCCATCCACCAAGCCTCCCTCAGTGGGAGGCCCATTCCATGCCTCACCCCACCTTCAGGGAACCCTCCTAACTGGGGAGTCGGTGTCACAGCCCCCAAAGCCACAGGCCAATCAGGGCCCTGCGTATTACCTCTGGGCAGAACAGGCTAAAAGCCTGCCTCTAAGGGGGACCATGGCTGAGCTCCCCCACCTGGTCCAGGTCTGAACCCCACCTGTGTGTCTGCCCCTGACAAGGACACTCTTGGGGACAAAGCCCGGGGGATGGCACCGCCCCCAGCCCATGCCTTGCACAGAGGTGGTGAGTCCTGCTGGCAGCAGGCCCCACTCTCTGCTCACCTTTCTGGGACAAGGAACCGAGTCTCTCATACCCCCAGGGAAATCTGCCGGGGTCTGCATGGTGGGGCTCGAGCCGGTAGTCAGTGGGCCCTGCTGCTCCCCTGACTTCTGCTTTTTCAGCCTTCCTGGCCCAGAGGGCAGGGTCTCTAACCCCCCCCCCCTTTCTCACTTCCCCTCTGCAGGGCGGAAGGGCAGAGATGGGCTATGCTGGACCCCAAGATCATATCTCAGGGGGCAGAACAGAGGGAGATGTCACCTTTGTCTCCCCAGACCCTAACAAGGGGAGACAGGAATGAGACAAGTCACAAGGGGGCATCCAGCAACTACAAACGTCCCCTCGGGACACTGGGAGCAATCTCCAGCCGTCCCAGCCTAGAGGTAAATCTCTCTCCCCTGCAGCACCCGATATGGCAGCCTTGGGAGCTGCCACCCTACAACCCAGTGTAGAACCTGCCCACTGTCACCCAGAGGGGAGAGGGGCCTGAGGTCCTGGGAGGCCCTCCTAAAGGCTGGGCAGAGAGGCGGATGCCCCACAACCCCTTGCACATGGCCCAGGCTAGTGCTCACCCCAGCGCCACCACAGGAAGTCACCCGCATACAGACACAAGCAAGCAGACCATCGGAAACGGTTTCCACAGACATGCCCGATGTGGAAACACGCCCCCAGCACATAGACTTCCCCTTCCAGTCCGTACAAGGCCTGCGAATCAGCCTGACCATGGCCCACCAGTGGTTGTGAGAAAGATCTCCTTAGACTCTGGGGTTGGGGAGCCCTGGAAGCCCCAGAGCCCTTAGGTCCAGTGCCGGCTCCGCCCCTCAACCCTTGAGTCCCACAGGAGCACAGGAAGACCGTGCAGGCAGGGGTACAGGAAGGGACAACAGGAAGGAAACGCTTAGAAGTGCCTTTGTGGAAGGGTATGGAGAGGGCCTGGAGGCCTCTGGTGGCAAGAGGGGGGAAGGCCAGGCAGCAGCCCATATCCCTTCATCCCTGTCCCATCCCCCACATAGAGACTTCCTCTTTATTTACTTCCTCCCACAGGGCAACTGAGAGAAAAACCCAGAGTTCCCCCAGACTCATCACTGGCCTCCCCACTCTGGGTTTTCCTCCTCAAGCTGCAGGACAAGCCCACTGCCCACCCTGGGCCCTCAAGGACACCAACTTCCCCCTCCCTTGGCATCTGCAGACCTCCCACGCACTGCCTTCTCATGGAACAGGGGTATCCAGAAGCCTCTCTCAGTGCTGGGAGCAGAGGAGGGGGCCCCAGTTCACAGGCATCCTGAGAGGGAGCACCAAGAAGGGCCGATATGGAGGGATGAGGCTGTGCCTCCAGCCAGGCTCTCCTCCTCCAACCATAGCGTGGTGGCCCCTGGGACTTTGCTCTTAGTAAGGTAAGATCCAATTTTTAGTGAGGAGGAAACTAGACTCAGGAAAGTGACTTGCCTGAGGCCATATGGCTAGAAAGGAATAAGGACCAAAATCACAGACTGCTGGAGTCTAAAACTCCTTCCTGCATTCCCTGCAGGCCTTTCAGACGTCCTTCCCAGTGGCCCGCCTGGCTTTGTCCCCATACATAAGCCAGACACTAGGAGGTGCCCATGCAACACAGACTGTGGCCTAGTCTTACTAAAAAGAAATAGATGCTGGGGCAAGAGCGACAGCACAGCAGTTAGGGTGTTTTCTTTGCACATGGCAAACCCAGGTTCGATCCTCGGCATCCCATATGGTACCCAGTACCGCCAGGAGTGATTCCCCTGAGCATCGTTGGGTGTGCCCCAAAATGCAAAAAAAAAAAAAAAAGAATAGATGCTAACTAAATCCAACTGTCTGGGCCAGGGAAACATGCTTTGAAACCTAAGGGTCCTGGATTCAATCCCTGGCATAGTATATGGTTCCCTAAGCACTGCCAGGAGCAAACCTCGAGCACCAAAACAGGAGCAGCACCTGGGTGCAACCCACACCACCTCCCAAGCACAACTGTCGTTGACAATCCAGAAGGTGCAGCTGCCCAGAGGGGAGTGCCTGGCGTGTGTCAGGGAAGATCTTCCAGCAAGGGAAAGAGGGGAGTTGTCCAGTTGGACCCTGAGGATGAGTTGAAATTGGCCTAGTGGAAAGGAGGCAAAGACTTGGTCTGGGGACAAAGCAGTGCAAGCAACAGGCTTAAGGTTGGAATTCCAGGAGGGAAGTTAAGAAGCATCAACTTACTAGCTGCGTGCTCCCAGACCAAATGCCATCCCGGGCAGAGCCTCCGCTTCCTCCCTGTGAAACAGGTTCCAATCAGATGCCCCACTCTGGAAAGGCTTCTGGGGGGGGTCAAAGAGCCGCATGGCGGGAACATCAGGAGCAGAGCTGCTCCTTACTGGGTCTCTCTGCTCAGGCGGGAGGGCCGAGCGGGGCCAGAGGGTTCTTGGGGCTAGAACGATGGCTTGGCCTGCACTGGCCAATCTGAGGGAAGCTCCCCCCAACACCTGAGGCTGCCCAAGGCTCCCCAAAGTCCACAGTCACATCCTGCCTGAGCCCCAGCCAGGGGAGCATGAGGGATCCGGGAGGGATCAGGGTTTCATAAACAGGAAGAGAGGAGGGGAGGGGGGAGACGCTCAGCTCTCAAAATAGACCTGCAGGAGCTTCAAAGGGGTCCAGCTCCCGAGACAGCCGGGGGAGGGGGCCTGGCTGCCCAGTCCCTGAGGGGTGGGGGGGGCAGTGCCCCCATCCTGGGGATACCAGGTGCACTCCAGGGGAGCTCTTCCCAGGATGCCCACGTTAAGGTTGTTGAAGCCAAACCCACTTTCAGCCTTAAATGAATGAAGTAAACAAGCCTCAGAAGCCAACACTGTGTTTCAAACCCTGTTGGGAATCTTGCACCGCAAGGCTCCACATGCCCTCGCCCCACTGCCGGAGGCACCAAGTCTTCGTGCACGGTGGAGAATCAGGTCCTGGGCACACAGTGACATGGCCAACAAGAATAAAGCCTCCCAGCTCCCACTTCCCTCCCTCCCTGCCACTCCCTTTCTCTCCGCAGCCCACTGCAGCTCCATAGCGGTGACCCTGGGAGTGGTCTCGGAGCTCAGAGGTCGATAGTCCCAGGATGCATGCCTCCTGCCACAGAGAAAGGCGGGTACCTGGGGGAGGGATGTGCCCATTGTGGAACAGACCAGGCTTCCTGTGCCCACGATCCTATCCTCCTGGTAACGGTGCTCCCATGCAGCTCTCCATTTCCCAGCCTCCCCCTAAGTCTGAAAGCTCTCTGATGTGGATTGGTTGATGTGGATCATTCTGGGGCCGCCTGGTGCTACAACAGGGCGCACCAAGAGTCCAACATGGCCGAGGCTAATTGCCCGTCCCCCCCCACCCCGCCCAGCCCTTTCCACTGCAGGGTAAGTTCCTACCTCAAGCCCTGCCCACTCACCATCCTGTTCCTCAGAACCTCAGCCCCGAGATCTGAAGCACCTGCTCTTCCTTGGGGACCTACAGCTCTTCATTGCATTACGAGGCAACTGGGGATTGGGAGGGCAGAGGGAGAGTACAGAGGTCGGGGTGCCTAATACAATCCCCAACACATTGTTCCCCCCCCCCCCGAGAGATTGCCAAGAGGTGCACGCGCGCACACACACACAGACACACCAAGTTAACTAGGCAACTCAGGGCGGAGTCTTGGAGAAATTCTCTGGTCACAGGACAGGACACCCACAAGGCACCAGAGTCTCTAGGGAGAGAAAGGGCAGGAGCGACTCCCCGCCCTTATCTCCCAAGGCGGAGTCAAGGCACCCAGAGGAGCAGCCTGTGTTTGTCTCAAAGGTCACACTGATGGCTGCTCGGGACCAGGTGGGCCCAGGCCTGGGGGAGGTCCCCGCAGGAAGTGGAGCCACGCAGTGGCATAGTGTCCCTATGCTACAAACTCCATGCCAAGCTACGGCAGCTTCCCTGGTACTTCACTGCAGCGGTCCCTGCCAGCAAAGGCAGACCCCGAGAGGTGAGACGTGTAGGACAGAACCAGCTCGCTCTCTACCTACACTGCCGGTAGCTCTGTCCCCCAAGTTCTCACAAAGAATGGAGTGTGGTCTCCTAACCCCAAAGATGACAAAGCCCAGGCCCAGAGGAGACAAGGGCTTGACAACGGCTTGCCCAGGGGTACACACAGTCAGTCAGCACACACCACGGGCAAGGAGCTGAGGGGCTGGCTGGAGGAGCCCCAGGGGAGCAGAGATGGGAGGACGGGGATCAGCTGGCGGATCCCAGTGTGCACAGGACCCTGCTTGGACCTGAGAAGCCCCCAGGTGCTCCCTGGAGTTGTGTGCACACATGCTCCTAGGGCCCCAGCCCAGGTCTGCGGGGGAAGCAGCAGGGAGGGCCTGGGCTCCCTCATGCCGCCAGCCTCCTTCACTGGCCCCACAGTCAGGCGGTAAGAACAGGAAAATTTGTGATGGGGGGAGGGGGTGTGTGGACAGAAAGTACAATGGCAGGGCGCTTGCCCTGCACGTGGGCAACCCAGGTTCGATCCCTGGCATCTCATATGATCCCAGGGCCCCACCATACATGATTTCTGAACACAGAATCAGGAGTAAGCTGTGAGCACTGCCACATGTGACCCCAAAATAAACAAAAAAAGCACAGGGAAGTGACCTGGCCTGGGGGACCGGGTGACAGAATTCCCATTCGGGGGTGGGGGGTCCCTATCATTTTCACAACTAAGAAACGGGAAGGCTGGAGCCAGGGAGGAGGTTCACAGTAGAGCATGCTCCTGGCACAAGTGAGGCCCTGGGATTGATCACCAGCACCACAAACAACAAAACACAGGAAGACTGGAACAAGTCACCTCTAGGCAGGGCTGCCTGGCCGGTGAGGAGGAGGAAGGCTAGGCTGGGCAAAGGGGCAGGAGGCCAGGGCCCTCATATGCAGACAAGGTCATGCCTCCCTCCTCCAGGCCCAGAAAAACAGCCCCAACCCGGGAAGTTGGTCCAGCTCCTCACCTTGTCTTGCTGAAGTCCAGCCTCTTCTCCTGAGGCCTGTCCATTCTGGAAAAGAGAAGAGGGTTTGGGGAGCACTGTCAGAACTCACCAGCACGGGACAGAGCAAAGACAAACCCCTGGGAACCCAGTCATGGCTGTACCCAACAGCAGGGAGGCCCTGGAGGCAGGAAGATTAGGTGTGTCCCCTCAACCTCCAGCCACAGCATCTCCCAGCCCTCCCACCCTGCTCTCTGCAGGCAAGCACCTCCTCTCCAAAGAGTCAGTTCAAATGCCCACTTCATCCCAGGGGGAAGGGCTAAACAAACTGCTCGACTTTGTGCCGACTGGTCAACTGCAGGAGGACTCAGTATACTGAACAGTAAAAAGGGAGGCTACACTCACCTCCCAGAGCTGCTGCATGGGTGGAAGGAACCAGGACCAGGGAAGTCTCTTGCTCTGCTCTGCCCTCTCTGGGACCCTCCCTTACCCATGCTATGCAGAATCACTGCTCTCCTTCACAGAGCCACGAGTCACCTTTGCAGGACATTTCCAAATGAGCCTGTCCTTCCTCTATGGGGAGCACAGGAGGACAAAGCTTAGGGCTGGGGCTAGCAGGTGTCCTCCCCTGAGCCCCTGCCACATGCCAAGTGCTGGAATCAGTGACTCACACTTGTGGTCCCATTAAACCCTCCTGAGCCAGGAGGTAAGCTCCGGCCCCACTGGCTGAAAAGGAAACTGAGGGTCAGAAAGGCTGTGTCCATAGTCCCTGAGATCATGCAACTGATATCAGAGACTCAAATTCTGGTATGTGACACCCAGGAGATGCTCCCAGAGACTGCTGAGAAACCCACACCCCAACTGTGTGCAAAGGGGAAGATGGCTCCGGATCCGCCTCTGGGCATCCTGCTTTCTCCAGCTCCAGACTGCACCCTCCAGTGGGCACTGGAATATATTCCCCCGGGGAAACTGAGGGCTGCCCAGCTCTGGGCCTTTCAGGGTAACAGAAGGTGGCCAAACTAGGCCCGGGGAAACTGAAGCAGGGGTGTGTGAGGCACACAGCAGGTTTGCAGTGAGCAGGACGAGCCAGCCTAGGGCAGGGCTGAACTTTGGAGCAGGCTCTGGGTCCACAGGGCAGCTGTGGCTTTGCTGGCAGCAGCAGACACAGCTGTGCTCTGTCCATTACATAACCTCCCTGCCCCTGGACATGTCCCCAGGACATCCTGCCCCCTTTAATGCCCCTAATCCTGCACCAGGACCAGTGTTCTGTGGGCACACACACCAGTCAGGGCCAAGAGGATCAGGCCTGGAGGTAAGTTGGGCTAAGTTGGGGAACACAGGCGGTATGCATCTGTAGATTTGAGGTCCACCTCCAGCATTCCAGACTCTTTTTTTTCTGTTTGTATTTGGGCCACACCCAGCCGTGCTCAAGACTTACTTGTTCTGTGCTCAGGGATCACTCCTAGAGGGGCTTGGGGGACCATATGGAGTGCCTGAGATCGAACCCAGGTCAGCCACATGCAAGGCAAATGCCTTACTATGCTATTGCTCCAGCCCCATTCTAGACTCAACATTCTCATCACAGTCACAGTAACTCACACCCCAACCCCCCAACCCAGCCTTATCCTCCTCACATTCAACTGTGATCCTTGCACTTGAGTAATTGACTCTCTCTGCCCATACTCATATGCTCCTCCATGAGAACTTTCTAGGTCCCAGACCCCAGATATGGCCATGGATTCCCACTGCAGAACCGAGGAACTGGGCATCGCACACAAGACTGCCACCTCCCTCTGCCCAGATGATTAAGAATGAGGCTTATGGAACTTGACCATGTAGCTTCTGATTCTAGCTTCTACCACTACATGACCCTGAGAAGGTAACTTCATTTCTGAGTCTCAGTTTTCTCACTGTGAGATGGGATAAAAGCAATGTAACTCTGGAGAGGGTTCCAAGGAAAAAAATAAAATAAGATCTCTAAAAAAATATACAGTCAGGGGCTGGAAAGGTAGTACCAGGGTTAAGGTGCTTGACTTGAATGTGGCTAGTTCTGGTAGAGTCCCCAAACATGGTCCCCCAAGCCCCACCAGGAGTGACCCTAGGCACAGAGCCAGGAGTAAACCCTGAAAGTGAAGTCCTAGATTCCAAATAAGTAAATTTGTAAATAAACTTGTTTGTTTTAGGGCTTACTCCTGGCTCTGCACTCAAGGATCACTCAGGCAAGCTCAGGGGAACAAAATGAGGTGCTGGGGACTGAGCCCAAATCAGCCACACACAAGTGCCTTACCCTCTGTGCTATCTCTCTGACCCCAATAAATAAACTTTTAAAGAATAATAAAATAAGGGTTGGAGTGATAGTACATTGTGTAGGGCAATTAAAAAGCATGCAAATCCAAACTGTATTTGATTCCAGAAATCACTTGTGGGTGCCCAACCCCACAGAGGTCCTTGAGCACAGAGCCAGGATAAGGCCCTCTAGGGTGGCCCCAAACCAAATGATATAATAATAATAAAATAAAAATATAAACAGAAAATAAAAATTGAGACCTGCAGTTAAGTTCTTTAAATTGAATCATCGTGAGACACACAGTTACAAAGCTGTTACCCACAGGTAACTGATCCACAAACAGTGGCCATTACTGTTACTAGACCCTATTCTTCTGGGAGGAGGAGTGCTCAAGGCCTATTCCTGCCCTATCTAGTATCCTGGAGTTATTCAGGGAGCCATATGCAGAAACGGGGATCTAACTGGACCCCCCTGCGTGCAAGGCAAGGGTCTTGTCTACAATACTATCTCTCTGGTTTTCAGGTCCTATTCTTGAGTTCCTCTGAAACCCCAGAGACCCTGAACGGAAAACATATTCGTATCCCTAGGCATGTGTATTGTCTTTCAACCCAGAAAGTCCTTTTGGTCTTGGTCCTCTGGCAAACTCTTGGTCATCTTGCAGGACTCAATCCCAAATGTTCCCTCCTTGGTCCAAACAGTCTCAAGTCTATTTCTTCCTTCTGGCCCCTACAGCATTGAGCCAACCACAGGCCGTGACTTGTCCTTCATCATGTCCTTGGGCCAGGGCCAGCTCAGGGCCCTACAGAGAGTTTGGCAAAAGAAAGTTCAACCCAGGGGGCTGGAGCGATAGCACAGCGGGTAGGGCATTTGCCTTGCATGCAGCCAACATGGCCGATACAGGTTCGATTCCCAGCATCCCATATGGTCCCCCGAGCACCGCCAGGAGTGATTCCTGAGTGCATGAGCCAGGAGTAACCCCTGAGCATTGCCGGGTGTGACCCAAAAAGCAAAAAAAAAAAAAAGAAAGTTCAACCCAGGGGCTGGAACGATAGTACACGGGGTAGGGCATTTGCCTTGCACGTAGCTGACCCGGGTTCAATTCCCAGCCTCCCATATTCCTGAGTGCAAAGCCAGGAATAACTCCTGTGCATTGCTGGGTGTGACCCAAAAAAAACAAAAGAAAGAAAGAAAGAGAGAGGGAGAGAAAGAAAGGAAGGAAGGAAGGAAGGAAGGAAGGAAGGAAGAAAGAAAGAAAGAAAGAAAGAAAGAAAGAAAGAAAGAAAGAAAGAAAGTTCAACCCAGCAAAGGGCAGGGATGCCAGAGCAAGTCTTATCATTTCAGATGTCCAGGTGAGGCTCTGGGAGTAAAGGGATACCTGAGGTCCCTCAGCAGATGACAGATATGTGCCATCACCCCAAAGTCAAAAGGCTTCAAGCTTAAATCCCTAAGGAGTGGAGGTGAACAGCAGAGCACCCAGAGAGGGGAGTGTACTGGTGAAGAGACTGGATAATTCACAGTGACCCTGCAGGACCGTCTCGCTACTTCCAGTCCCAGGGGCTCCAGCTTGGGTGTCATCCTCCCAGAAGCCCACACTTTTTTTTTCTTTTTGGGTCACACCCAGCGATGCTCAGGGGTCACTCCTGCCTCTGCACTCAGGAATTACTCCTGGCCATGCTTGGGGGACCATATGGGATGCTGGGGATTGAACCCGGGTCGGCCACATGCAAGGCAAACGCCCTACCCGCTGTGCTATTGCTCTGACCCAAGCCCACACTTCTTAAGAACTGATACATAAGGTCTCTAAAGTGCAGAGGAACCCTGGAGAAAGATCTGGAATGCATAAACACTACAGAGTGCCCCCGCCAGAGTTACAGGCTAGAGAAACAGTACAAGATATAGGATGCTTATCTTGAACGCAGATCTGGGTTCAATCCCTGGCACCACATACAGTCCCCTAATCCCTGCCAGGAGTAAGTCCTGAGCACTGAGCCAGGAGTAAGCACTGCTGGGTTTGAGCCAAACAACAAAAGAAATTAAAAATAAAAAGAAAGAACAATTAAGTCTCCTGTAGAGACAGAACTGCCTGCCCTTTAGCCCCTAGCTTCTTTAAGAGTGGGGTCATGACCCATATCGGGTTCAATGACTGAATGTGGGAGCTGCAAAAAATATGCTTGCAAATAAATGTGTAGGAATTTTTTTTGTATGGGAAAATTTTTAATAAAACAAATTTTTAAAAATTTCTTGTTTTGTTTTTGTTTTGGGGCCACACCTAGCAGTGCTTAGGGCTTATTCCTGGCTCTCCGCTCAGGGATCATTCCTAACAGGCTTGGAGAACCATATAGGATGCCAGGGATTGAACCCAGATTGGCCGCATGTGAGGCAAGTGCCCTACCCGCTGAACTATCACCCAAGCCATAGAATTTTTCATTTCTTTTTTTGTTTGTTTTGTTTATTTTGGGGTGACACCCAGCAATGCTCAAGGCTTACTCCTGGTTCTGCACTCAAGAATTACTTCTGGCAGTATTCAGGGGATCATACAGGATGGCAGGGTTCAAATCTAGGTCAGTCACATGCAAGGCAAATGCCCTACTCACTGTACTATCGTTCGAGTCCCAGAATTTTTAATTTCTTAATAAAATAAACGTATGGGCTAATCTGATCCCTGGCACAGGATCCTCTAAACACAGCCAGAAGTTCACAGAGCCAGGAGTAAGGCTTATAGATAGCCTAAAACCCAAACAGCAACAACAAAAATAAGATAAAAGTATAACTTTTGTTAACACTTAATTTGTATACTTTTTGGGAGGTGCACACTTAGTGGTGCTTGGGGCTGCTCCTGGTGGTACTCAGGAGACCATGTAGCACTGCACTGTAGCATTGTCCTCCCGCTGCTCATCAATTTGCTCCAGTAACGTCTCAACAAATTGCTAGACTTGTTGTTACTGTTTTTAGCATATTGTATATGTCACAGGGAGCTTGCCAGCTTTGCAATGCAGGAGAGATACTCTCAGTAGCTTGCCAGGCTCTCCAAGGGGAGTGGAGGAATCGAAACCAGGTCGGCCATGTCGGCCACTTGCAAGACAAACGCCTTACCTGCTCTGCTATTGCTCCAGCATATACACAGAGGCTGTGTGCAGGGATAAAATCTTGCATCAAATCATGTGCTCCAAATTGTTGAGTGATCTCCCTGGACCTGTATACCTATTATATTTTTTGGAAGAAAGGGGATTGGACCATACCCAGTGGTGCTCAGGGATCACTCCTAGCAGTACTACAGGACCATACATGGTGCCAAGGATCAAACCCAGGTCTGCGATATGCAAGGTAAGCACCTTACCTGCTGTACTATCTCTCTGGCCTCTATATACCTATTGTATACACCTAGGGTTGCATTAAAAATTTTTTGCACAGGGACTGGAGCGACAGCACAGCGGGTAGGGCATTTGCACAAGGCCAACCCAGGTTTGATTCCCAGCATCCCATATGGTCCCTCGAGCACCGCCAGGAGTAATTCCTGAGTGCATGAGCCAGGAGTAACCTCTGTGCATCGCCAGATGTGACCGAAAAAAAAAATTTCACACAAAAAATGTCTTGAGTGGGAAGAGTCTAAGAGGCCCTGCTCAAGCCTGCCTGGGGCACACGCAGTAGGACAAGAGCTGTGGAGCCATGACAAAAGATTTCACTTTCACTCTCCAGTCACTCATTCAGACTTGGGTCTGCCCCATCCCCTCTGATGCTCAGTTTTTCTCCTGGATATCATAAGGTCTGTCTTGTTCACAGCTGCACCCTGTTGCTGGGAACTGTACTTATCATACAATAAATGCACCACACACGTTAGCTAAGAAGTGAATGAACAAAAGAGGACACTGATGCTCCTACAGAGTGATGATGGAAGAACCACACCCTCCTTGCTGCCCCCAGACAGGGACCTCTGTGTCTGTCACTCAGAGGTCAGTGTTGGGTTCTAACAGGCAACCTGCCTTCCCACCCAAGCAGCTCTGTCCCAGGAAGGGCCACAGATGGACAAGATGACACATGCCCTGAAGGCAGGAAGCAGCCCCAGGAGCTGGGTTTGGAGCCCAGCATTGGCAGCGCCACACTGCTGGAGGCTGGGGACAGGTGCCAGTGTCAGTTGGCACCACCGGCCCTCAGCAACGGCTGGACAGGGGCCCTGCGGGCTGAGGAGAGTGCCAATATCCGGAGCCTCTCTTGGAGTACCTTCCACCAGGGCCCATCTGACCCAGCCTCCTCTTTCTCACTTAGTGGAAGACTCTCAGGAAGTGATCTGGTCCCCATCCTGGAGTTACCTCATGGGTCAGCTCTCTCTGAAAAAGGCTGTCCCTGCTAAAAATGGGGGTAATAATTCCTCCTTTAAGAAATTGGAGAATTTTATTCTGATATGGTGCCACAGGTGAAGCAAGGTGGCTGGCAGAGAATAAAGTACTATACCCGGAGGGCTGGGCCTGGCACACGATTATGCTCTAGCAGTGCCAAGGAAGGTCCATTGCAGAACCCTCTGCCTTTCCCACAGTCCCAACGGGTTTACTCTACCTGGCCCCACCCTGGGCCAGGCCAGGCCCTGCCTCCCAGCAGTCCATTTTCAGGGGTGTCATGGGGAGGACAGGGCAGTCCAGATCCCAGGTCTCTGCCAAATGTCCCTAGCAGCCTCTGGCCTGCCTCCTGCCCAACCAGGAGCCAGCGGCAGTGCCTGTACCTGCAGGTCAGGCTGCTGTATCACTTACATGTCACCTGGGCTAAGAACAGCGAGGCCCTGTTCTCCAGTGAGAACAGCCCAACCGGCACCCTGGCTGCCCTGTGGCTCCTGTTACCCAAACAATAACACCCAGTCGCCTGGCACCCTCACAGAGAGGAAGAGTATGGCTGCAGTACCCAGGCCCATGAAGCTAAAACCTAGTCCTGGTCACCAGAGAAACATAATCAGAGAGGCTGAGGGCTGACTGTGGGTCACACAGGACTTCCCAGGAGATGCGCCTAGAGAAATTCAGCCTCCTACCTTCATCTTAGAGAAGCCAGCTTTCCCCTCTCAGAGTTCAGGTGCACAGCACTCCAAACCAAACTGAGTTTTTCCATTCCCAGAGCCTCTGGTTAAGCAGGCCCCGGCCTCAGGTGGCCCAAAGGGAAGCAGGAAGTGGTAGCATGCCTTGGACTGGGCACCAAGCGCCTGCTCTGTTCTCACTAACCCAGCCCAAGGTAAGGTCTGAGTCAAGTGGAGGTGGAAGTGGTAGGGGTGTGGAAGGGCAAGAACTCCACCTCCGAGCTTGCTCACTCCAGCCTAGTGCCCCCATTCTTGGGGAGGGGGGGGGAGGGCTGGGGCTGCAGGGGGCAGTGTTCCTCACCTCCAGGGTGAGTCAGCGAGAGAACCTCCAAGCTGAGCAGAGACTGTAAAAACCCCATGGCAGGGATCCCAGAGCAATTTACTCCAAATTGTGCCTTCAGGTTGGTTACCTAATCCTACCGTGCCCACCCTCCAATAGCCAGCACTGGCCAATCCTTTAAAGGGGAAGCATGACCTGGCTGCCGGGGACCCAGGTTCTCTAATAGCTCAACCTGTGGCCTGGGAGGCAGGACCCTGATGACTGCCCAGGTAAGAGAAGGTAAAGGAGGGCACCCTAGGCAGGAGCTGGGGGCTAAGGCTGGGGAAAACCACCCTGGCCCCCAGGCCAACTGAGAGCCTCCCTGAATAACCTCCCTGAATACCTCTCTTCCCTGCAGCACTGGTGCACACACAGACACACACGCCCCTGTGCACGCGGGCATTACCTGCCTCCTTACTTGCATGAACTGAAAGGGAAAGTTTTCAACCTAAGGGTTCTGGGACCTGACCTTGACCCTGGGGATCAAAGGGCACAGGAAGGGCTGGTCTACTGTAAGCTAACTAAGGACTGGGCACCACAGAAATCCTCAGAGGAGGGCAGGCGCTGCTCTGGGAGCCACTAGGCTGGCAGAGGCCAAACTCCGCAGGGGCCTCCAGTCCTTCCTATGGGAGCCTGTACAGAAGGGAAGCAGCAAAGAGGTCGTTCCCGGTCTTCCCTCCCTGGGAGTAATTCTCTTCCCCAAATCCAAGGATCTTCTCCCTACCCGCTCTTCCAAGTCTACAGTCAGGGGACACAGGTTTCCTCTGGCCCTAGCCTCAGGCCAAAGAAAAACCAAGAGCTTCCAATCCAGACTGGGAGGTGTCACCCCACATTCCACAACTGCTAAAGGTCGAGAGGATCAGTCCTTCCAGGGTCCGCGGCAAGAGGAGAGTTGCTGAGGTTGGGCATTGCGAGACATCATGGAGAAGGGGGATCCCAGGATCCCCGGGATCCAATCTTCCGTAGAGTCCCAGGAGCTGGGCACCCCAGCTCTGCCCGTCTGTGCTAATGGAGGAAGCTCCGACCGCCGCCGGTAAGGGTCCTAGGTGGACAGGCTAAGGGGGGGCCAGATGTGAGCGCCCCGCGGGACCCTCTCTTCCCAGCCAAGGGAGGGGGGATTCTGGACGCCTGGCGGAACTGTCCCTCGCGCGCATACACCCGGGCAGAGGGGGGTGGAGCCGGAGATCTGGCGAGAGATCGGAGGACACTCGCGCCCTGGAGGGCGCCCGCCCCGGCTACTGCAGCCCCGCGGGCCGCCCCGCCCCGCGCCGGTGGGGACCCGGGTTCTCCGGCGTCCGGCCCCCGCCCCGCTCACTCACCTCCGGGTCCAGTGGCACCAGCTCCATGAGCGGCCAGGGCTCGTTGAGCTGGGCGAGAGGCATCGCGCCGCCGCCGGGCCGCCCGCACTGCTCCGGCGACCCGGGCCGCGCCGCCTTGCAGATCCCGGGGTCCCCGGCTCCGCGTCGCCGCGCCCCCACGCCACCCCCAGACCCTCGGGCTCGGGCTGGGCCGTCCGCCGCCGCCGCGGCACTAGCACTCCGGCTCCCTCCGTCACCCGGCGCCGCCGCGCCCATTGGCTACCTGCGCGGGGGCGGACCCGCCTAGGCCCCGCCCCAGCCCCCGCGGCGCGGCTTTCCCGGCGCGGACCCCCGGCCCCGCGGCGCGGGGAGCGCAGGCGCCGCCTCCCCTGCGAATCCCTGGCCCCACCTCTCGCTCCGCGCAGAAGTCCTCTGGGCTGCTTCTCCCAGTGCTGGTCCCCGACTACGACGGATCACGCCAGAACCACCCTTCTCCCCCATTCAGCTTGTTCGGAATCCTGACCAGACCTTCCTTCTACCGCCAGTGGGAGGGTAGCCCCCGGTTCCCCTTATCCACTCCCCAATTTCCATCCTCCATCCACCCTCAACCATACACAGGCTGCCCAAGGGCCTGCCTGACCCAAGCCAAGGCTTGAAAGGAGCCTGGGCCTCACTCTCCTCGGACCCACATCTCTCTAGGACCGAGGGATCTCCCCTAGGGGAGTGAACACAGGGATTCTCTTGGAGATCTCAGTAGCTCAGTCCCATCATAAGACCCCAGGTACAATCTCGATGTCCCAGTCCCAGGTACGATGATGCTGTGACCCCCGTAAGAACCCATTTCCCCATCGCCAGCCCCAGTGGTGTCCTAATACCAAATTTTTGCTGTCTGTCCTTTTAAGCGAATTCTCAGCTATAGGCTCAGTTGGGGGTTGTGCCCCCCTCTGAGCCAAGCTTCCATGATGGACAAAGCTTGGGTTGCACTTGGAGTAAAAGCCCGAGACTCTTCCCACCCACTCCGAGATTTAGCCTCCATCTAAAGAGGCTTCAGGAGATTCAGGTGTGGTCCATCTTTCCCCTCACACATGGAGGAGGGGAAAGATGAACTGTGAGTTTCATGGGTGGGGAAGAATGGCCAAAGAATAACCTTTGCAAAGTTATTGCAAAGCTGTTCTTAAGGCAAGGTCTCTGTTCCATCAATAACTGATTTCCTTGAATCACCACCAACTTGTTTACAAATCATAAAACAGCCTCAAGAGGGGCTGGAGTGATAGTACAGCTGGTAGGGTGTTTGCCTTGCACACAGGCAACCTAGTTTCAATCCCAAGAAACACATAAGGTGGTTCAAGCCTGCCAGGAGTAATCCCTGAGAGCAGAGCTAGAAGTTACCCTTGAGCAGCACTGGGTGTGGCCCACAAACAGCAAAAAAAGTTGAGGGACTGGAGAGAGCTAGTAGAGCAGGCAGGGCATTTGCCTTGCACCTGGCTGACCAGGGTTCAATCCCCAGCATCCCATATGGTCCCCTGAGCAGCGCCAGGCATAATTCCCGCATGCAAAGCCAGGAATAACCCTTAGCACTGCCCGGTATGGTCCAAAAATACAAACAAAAAATAAAATTAAAAATCACAGTGGGGAGCTGGAGAGATAGCACACTGAGTAAGGCACTTGCCTTGCACGTGGTCAACCCAGGTTCAATCCCAGTACCCCATATGCTTCCCTGAGCCCACCAAGAGTGATCCCTGGTGCAGAGACATGAGTAAGTGCTGAGCATAGCCAAAAACCAAGGGGGAGAAAAACAGTAGATAAGCATTCTTCTAAAGCTAAGTGCTCCCCTTGTTTTATGATTTTCCAGTGTAGCACTGCAGCTGAAGAAATGGATTGAGTTTTGAATGGGAAAGACTAGGAAGCCAGCAAATCTGGATTTAAATAGAAGCAATGCCATTTCCATAATATTTGGAAATTCATGTAAAGTCTCTAAACCTGTTTTCTTATCAGTAAAAGAGGAATTACAGGATCTGAGATAGCACAGTGGACTAAGCCATTTTTCCCAGGAGTCTCTGCTTTGAATCCCTGGCACAGCACGAACCCCAGAGAACCACCAGGAGGATATCCCAGCACTGGGCCAGGAGTAGCTCTCACACTACTATAATTCCCCTACAGAAGGAATTACAATATGATAAATCAGACTTATGCCAAGGACTAAATTTATTTTAATTCAATAAATGTCGGGGGGCTGGAGAGAAAGTAAAGTGGGTAGGGTGCTTGCCTTGCACATGGCCAACCAGAGTACAATCCTGATATCCCATATGGTTCCCTGAGCACCGCCAAGAGTAATTGCTAAGTGTAGAGCCAGGAGTAACCCTTGAGCATTGTCAGGTATGACCCAAAAAGCTAAAAGAAAAACAATGTTTGACTAGTTATTACATGCCAGGTTCTCTTCCTAAGCATGTACTATAAATCAGACTTTAAACATAGAGGATAGAGCAACAGATTAAAGCTCCTGCCCATGCGGAGTTTGATGTGATTAAGTGATTGAACATTAACCTAACACTGTGGGCCAGGTGCTGTGCTAGGCACTTAACCTACATCATCTATTTTTTTTTAATTGAATCACCTTGAGACATACAATTACAAAGTTGTTCATGATTGGGTTTCAAGCATACAATGTTCCAACACCCGTCCATTCACCAGTGTACATTTCCCACCAAGGTCCCCAGTTTCTCTTCTGCCCCATACTCCCACCCCAGCCTGTCTCTATGCCTCTATAGCAATCTCTCTCTCTGTCTCTCTCTGTCTCTCTCTCTCTCCTCACCCCCCCTCCCGCCTTCCTCCCTCCTTTTTTTCCCTCTTAGGCACTGTGGTTTGCAATACTGTTACTGAAGGGTTATCATATCACTTCCTTTCAGCAACAGTTCTTGTCCAGAGTGGCCATTTCCAACTCTCATTGTTATAGTGGTCCCTTCTCTGTCTTAACTGCACTCCCTTCTCCCCTCACTTGTGACAAGCTTCCTATCTTGGACCAATTCTCCTGGCCCTCATTTTTATTGTCTTTGACTATTAGTCTCATATTTTGTTGTTGTTGTTTTATACCCCACAAATGAATTACCTGCATCATCTTATTTCGTCCTCATACCAGCTGACGATGTAGGTACAGTTAGCTGCAGTTCACAGATGAGGAAACCAAAGTCTGAGAAGTTAAGCATCACATTCTCTAGGTTCCTTGAGGGTCACAGCTAGAAAATGGCAGAGATGAAAGACAACCTTCACAGTCAGGCCCGGATTTTACACTGTAAACCAGTGTAAAAATATTGAAAACCACTGCTCTGCCCCTCTCTGATGAGGGCTAAACCCAAGGCATCTTTGATCGAAATTGACAGCCTGTATTAAGATCAGCATTAGAATATCCCACTTTAGTTGCCTAGAACCAGTCTGTGGTGTCCACATAAATGGAGCTCAGGGCTATCATATATGTGGACATAGATAAGAAAACAAAAAAACTCTTTCTCTGAAATTCAAAGTTATATGGGGAGCCAGAACGATAGTTCCATGGTCTGGAACATGTGCTTTGTATGAGGCCAGGGTCCCACCCCTAGTACCACAAGCACCCACTGAGCCGGCCTAGGAATCACTCCAAATCCACAAAATAACTAGAGGACCAGAAAAATAGTACAGAAGTCCACGTGCATGCTTTCCATATGGCTGACACCAGTTCAATCCCTGCACTACATATTCTCCAGAGAGTCGCTGGGCAAAGCACTAGAGGCTTCCAAACATCACTGGGTGTGACCCTGGAGCTCATTAAGCACCGCTGAGGTTGTCCAGGTAATCCCTGCCACCACCAGGCCTGAGCAGCATCGCATCTTTGAGGCTTTACATTAACTAGACTGAGAATTGGCCGGGAGGGGGGGTCCCCTGAAACTGCTTGAAAAGCACCACCACCACCCCCACCTCCCTAACACCACCATTTAACTGGGAATGCTGCATTTGGGCCACACCCAGCTATGCTCAGGGCTTACTCCTGGCTCTGTGTTCAGTGTTCATTCCTGGTGGTGCTCAGGGGACCATATGTAGTATAGAGAACTGGGTCAGCCACAGGCAAGCACTATCTCTCTGGCCTGCCCTCTGGTATGTTATGGTTTGATTTGCTAATTAATCCCACTCAAGCTGAGAAAACATTGCACACTAATGCCAAATATCTGGCTGCAAGCCAGACTGAAGTCAGATTTAGGAAGGGACTCTGAGACCCAGAGAATGCAGAGAATGAAAGCAAAGAACCAGGGAGGGAGGGGGAGGGGTGGGGGAGGGGCACAGGAGGTGAGGAGAACTCAGGAGTGAGTTGGCCTTCAGCCTGCCCCCTCCCCAGGGCCCCTTGTCCTCTTCCTTCCGCTCAGACAGGAAAGGATTCCCTCTGAAGTGCATCATCTGAACTGAAGGACTGAGTAGTGATTGTGCTGTTCTGTGAATGCCTCACTTCCTGTATCCTCTCTCCCTGGAACATTAGAATGGCAGTGGGTCATGCTAGAAAAGGGTACAAGGAACTGGGTGGGGATGTGGGGGGAGACAGGATACGGGCGGTCAGCTTGCCTGTCAGTCTAGGATAGCAATTACTCAAAAGAGAGATTTAGACAACAAACCACAGCCTTCAAACTTCTGTTTGAGGGGTCAGAGTGATAGTACAATGGTTAGAGCGCTTGACTTGCACTCAGCTGACCGTGATTTGATCCCCAGCACCACATATTGTTCCCCAAATCCTGCCAAGAGTGAACCCTGAATGCAGAGCTAGGAGTTAGCACTGAGCACCACTGGGTGTGACCCAAAAAGGAAAATAAAATAAAGTAAAATAAAATAAAATAAAATTCTGTCTGCTACTGCTGCAGCCTCAGTTCAAAGCTTTTTCCCTTTCCTGGGCAGGAGCCATAGTATAGCAGGTAGAGCTCCTGCCTTACACTCAGCCTTCCCAGGACCACCTATGATCCCCTGAATCTGGAAGGAGTGGTCCCAGAGTGTAAAGCACTGAGTACTGCTGGAACTAAGGCTTTTCCATTTCTCTCTAAAATCCAGCCACACTAGGTCTCCTCCATCAGCCAAGGGCCTTTTTTGCACCTTCTATGGTCTGTGTTCCCTCTTCCTCAGGTCAGCAGATCTCCATAATTACTTCCTCCAGGACACTTTCCTTTACCTCCTATTTTATATGCTCATACTGTATATGCACCTCTCAAGGTTACCTTTACCAGTTTATGTAACTGATGAACATAAATAAACATGTTCTT